GGGGGGGCACAGCATTATAAGGCGCATAGAATAGAAACTGCAATAGCGGATGCACTATGCATCCTCTAGAGGGAGCTACACTAAAGGCAATCCAATACAATACAATGCAGCTTTATTTGTATAGAGTCTTCACAACCGCTGCAGCTGGAACAAAGCGCTTTATAGAACATTTAAAATGCTACGTCCAAGAAATCTGAATATTGATCCATATATAAGGCACATCAGATTTTTACGGCGCACTGTCAGCTTTTGAGAAAATTAAATGGTTTCAGATGCGCCTTATAGTGCGGAAAATACGGTCTTATCTGTTATGGAAACCTGATGTGTGAGAGGAAAAACACAAGGGCATTTTCTGAATCATCACAAGAGAAATCAAGAAAACATTTTATTTGCATCGTTGGTTAAAATATTCAGTCAACATTTGTTGACCAGTGAGTACTCTACTTCCTTCTATTTGAACATGAAACATGTATGATCGTTGAAATATCCAAGCATCTCGTCTGGATTCTCCCTCCTGCCAGAATGTTGTTCCCCGAGGCGCGTCGCGACGCATTCACAGAGGAGCTGATGTGCAAGGCGGATGTGGAGCCCACCATGCGCCCCATCGAACTCACCATCCCCCACATTAAGGCGCTGGCGGACGTCTATGCTGAGATGTGCGCCCGGGAGCCGCTTCTGCTGGGCTATGACTTCCGAGAAGAGCTCCGGCTGAAACACCTTGACAAGCAGAGAGCAACACTGAAGGCCGTGCCGAGGGGAACGGCGCCAAGCCCCGAGTGACCAAACAGAACAGGACAAAGAGCAGAAAGCCCAGCAGGGCTCAGTTAGTGCAGCTCTTGTAGCCTTGACATTTCCACCTGGCAGTGGCGTGCATTTTTGACACTGTTTTGCGCGCATCCAAGAGTACCGACTGGTTGTTTTTTTGGAAGCTAACGAGCAGATTGCCCAAAATGCAAAATGGTCACATTATCTCACAAAAGTGAGTACGTACACCCCTCACATTTGTTCAAGTATTTTATGTTTTCCGGGCACAACACTGAAGAAATTGATGCTGCAATATAAAGAAGGGAATGTTGAACTGGAATAAAATCATGTAAATTTCATGTCCATTCAAAATAACACGACACAAATGTCTAAACCACTGGCAACAAAAGTGACTACACCCCAAAGTGAAAATGTCCAAATTGGACATGAAGTGTCAAAATTTAGTGTGACCACCATGGATTTTTTGAATTGGCTCCAAGAGGCTGTTTATTGAAGGAACCGATAAAGAGGAGCTTGGTCCAATGGTGGCCGTGTTTCACGGCTTGCTCATGTTCACCCTGATGAGGTATAAATTACATGGCGGCAGCAGATCCATTTGTTTGTTTGGTTTCCAGTGTGATGTTGTCACTTGGGAGGACAAGAGATCAGAACCATAAATGTGTGCAGTGTTGTGAGAAGCCACTCTGGACTGTTTTAAAGTCAGTTTTGATGAAAAACAGCTCATGTGTTTGTACAGTGTCAGCTTTACAATAAAATGTTTTTGTGTAAAGTCTGTTCTTGTGGATGGGTCAAGATATATTACAGGGTTCCCACGGGTCCTTAAAGTTAATAAAAATCCCAAAAAAAGAAGTTGTGAAATTATGTTCTTAATTGTCCTTAATTTTCAGGGAAAGCTTTTCTGAAAAAAATGACCATGTATAGTAAGGCGTTTTTGGCCGAAAAAAACCTACCATGTATAGCAAGGCGTTTTGAGCCGAAAAAAACGACCATGTAGAGTAAGGCATTTTTGGTCGAAAAAAAAAAACGACCATGTACAGTAAGGCGTTTTGAGCCGAAAAAAACGACCATGTAGAGTAAGGCATTTTTGGTCGAAAAAAAAAAACGACCATGTACAGTAAGGCGTTTTGAGCCGAAAAAAACGACCATGTATAGTAAGGCATTTTGGGCCAAAAAAAAAGACTGAATAGTAAGGCATTTTTAGCTGAAAAAAAACGACCATGTATAGTAAGGCGTTTCGGGCCGAAAAAAACCGACTACGTATAGTAAGGCGTTTTAGGCCGAAAAAAAAAACGACCCTGTATAGTAAGGCGTTTTGGGCCAAAAAAAAACGACCATATACAGTAAAGCGTTTTGGACCGAAAAAAACGACCATGTATAGTAAGGCGTTTCGGGCCGAAAAAAAACGACCATAATAGAGTAAGGCGTTTTGGAGCGAAAAAAAACGACCATGTATAGTAAGGCGTTTTTGGCCGAAAAAAGACCATGTATAGTGAGGCGTTTTGGGCCGAAAAAAACCGACTACGTATAGTAGGGCGTTTTAGGCCGAAAAAAAACGACCCTGTATAGTAAGGCGTTTTGGGCCGAAAAAAACCGACTACGTATAGTAGGGCGTTTTAGGCCGAAAAAAAACGACCCTGTATAGTAAGGCGTTTTGGGCCGAAAAAACCAACCATGATTAGTAAGCCGTTTTTAGCCGAAAAAATGACCATGTATAGTGAGGCGTTTTGGGCCGAAAAAAACCGACTACGTATAGTAGGGCGTTTTAGGCCGAAAAAAAACGACCCTGTATAGTAAGGCGTTTCGGGCCGAAAAAAAACGACCATAATAGAGTAAGGTGTTTTGGAGCGAAAAAAAACGACCATGTATAGTAAGGCATTTTGGGCCGAAAAAAAAGACTGAATAGTAAGGCATTTTTAGCCGAAAAAAACGACCATGTATAGTAAGGCATTTTGGGCCGAAAAAAAAGACTGAATAGTAAGGCATTTTTAGCCGAAAAAAACGACCATGTATAGTAAGGCATTTTGGGCCGAAAAAAAAGACTGAATAGTAAGGCATTTTTAGCCGAAAAAAACGACCATGTATAGTTAGGCGTTTTGGGCCTAAAAAAACCGACTACGTATAGTAAGGCGTTTTAGGCCGAAAAAAAAACGACCCTGTATAGTAAGGCGTTTTGGGCCGAAAAAACAACCATGTATAGTAAGGCGTTTTTAGCCGAAAAAAATGACCATGTATAGTCAGGCGTTTCGGGCCGAAAAAAACCGACCATAGAGAGTAAGGTGTTTTGGACCGAAAAAAACGACCATGTATAGTAAGGCATTTTTAGCCGAAAAAAAAAACGACCATGTATAGTAAGGCATTTTTGGCTGAAAAAAAAAAATCGACCATGTATAGTAAGGCGTTTTGGGCCGAAAAAAACGACCATGTAGTAAGGCGTTTTGGGCCGAAAAAAAACGACTACGTACAATAAGGCGTTTTAGGCCGAAAAAAAACGACCACATATGGAAAGGCATTTTTGGCTGAAAAAAAAATGACGATGCATAGTACGGCGTTTTGGGCTGAAACAAACGACAGTGTATAGTAAGGAGTTTTGGGCCGAAAAAACCCACCATGTATAGTAAGGCGTTTTGGGCCGAAAAAAACGACCATGTATATATAGTAAGGCGTTTTGGGCCGAAAAAAACGACCATGTACAGTAAAGCATTTTGGGCCGAAAAAAGACACCATGTATATAGAAGGCGTTTTTTGCCGAAAAAAAAAACGACCATGTATAGCAAGGCGTTTTGGACCGAAAAAAAACGATCATGTCTCGTAAGACGTTTTGAGCCGTAAAAAACAATCAGTATAGTAAGGCGTTTTTGGCCAAAAAAATGCCCATGTTTTGTTCGGCCTTTTTAGATGAAAAAAACGACCATGTTTCATAAGGCGTTTTGGGCCAAAAAAAAAAACGACTACGTATAGTAAGGCATTTTGGGCCGAAAAAAAAACGATCATGTCTCGTAAGACGTTTTGAGCCGTAAAAAACAATCAGTATAGTAAGGCGTTTTTGGCCAAAAAAATGCCCATGTTTTGTTCGGCCTTTTTAGATGAAAAAAACGACCATGTTTCGTAAGGCGTTTTGGGCCGGGAAAAAAAAACGACTACATATAGTAAGGCATTTTAGGCCGAAAAAAAACGACCATGTATAGTAAGGCGTTTTTGGCCGAATATATATAGTAAGCGTTTTGAGCCGAAAATAAATAACCATGTATAGTTAGACGTTTTTGGCCGAAAAAAACGACCATGTATAGTTAGGCGTTTTGGGCCTAAAAAAACCGACTAGGTATAGTAAGGCGTTTTAGGCCGAAAAAATGACCATGTATATAGTAAGGCGTTTTTTGCCGAAAAAAACGACCATGTATAGTAAGGCGTTTTAAAAAAACCGACTAGGTATAGTAAGGCGTTTTAGGCCGAAAAAATGACCATGTATATAGTAAGGCGTTTTTTGCCGAAAAAAACGACCATGTATAGTAAGGCATTTTGGGCCGAAAAAACCCACCATGTATAGTCAGGCGTTTTGGCCCGAAAAAAACCCACCATGTATAGTAAAGCACTTTGGGCCGAAAAAAACCACCATGTATATACACCATGTATAGTCAAGCACTTTGGGCCGAAAAAAACCACCATGTATATAGGAAGGCGTTTTTTGCCGAAAAAAAACCGACCATGTATAGTAAGGCGTTTTGAGCCGTAAAAAACAATCATGTATAGTAAGGCGTTTTTGGCCAAAAAATGCCCATGTTTTGTTCGGTCTTTTTAGATGAAAAAAACGACCATGTTTCGTAAGGCATTTTGGGCCGAAAAAAAACGACCATGTATAGTAAGGCGTTTTGAGCCGAAAATAAATAACCATGTATAGTTAGACGTTTTTGGCCGAAAAAAACGACCATGTATACGACCATGTATATAGTAAGGCGTTTTGGGCCAAAAAAAAAACGACCATGTATATTAAGGCGTTTTGGGCCGAAAAAAAAACGACTATGGAGAGTAAGGCATTTTGGGCCGAAAAATATGACCATATATCGTCAGGCATTTTTAGCCGAAAAACACAACCATGTAAAGTAAGGCCTTTTTGGCTGAAAAAAACGACCATGTAGTAAGGAATTTTTAGCCGAAAAAAACAACCCTGTACAGTAAGCCATTTTTGGCCGAAAAAAACGACCATGTATCGCAAGGCGTTTTGGGCCGAAAAAAAAACGACCATGTTTTTTCAGGTGTTTTATTAACTGTTTCTTAGTGTGAGTGTGAGCTCGAATAGTTGTGCGAAGAGGATCAGAAAATGGATTTGGCCATGCACATTTTTGAGAACGCATAGGAAGGCCAGAATCGAACGCTGCACCTCGGCAGCGCGGGACCAACGAAATAACCATTTGACTACCAGGCAGGGAATGAATGCTCTACATGTTTTTGAGAACACGCAGGAAGGCTGGAGCTGGAATCAAACCCTGCACCTCCGCAGGACAACACGGACGCACGAACCATTTGACTACGAGTCAGGTGAGGAACCAAGACTTTACATTGGCCATAGATGTGAGTGTGAGCACGAATGGTGCGAAGAAGAGGATCAGAAAATGCACGGACATTTTTGAGAACGCACAGGAAGGCCAAAGCTGGACTCGAACCCTGCACCTCTGCAGCAGAATGCCAAGGCACTAACCATTCGACTACCAGGCAAGTCATGAACAGTCCAGGGTTACCACGGGTCCTTAAAGTTCATAAAAATACATGAAATTACGTTCTTAATTGTCCTTAATTTTCAGGGAAAGCTTCGAAAATCAATAAAAATCCTTAAAAATTAATCTGTGGTGTTCATTTCATTTGCGTATGTCATTTTCCCCACCCTTCCAATTCATAGTTCTGTCGGAAAATGCGCCTGGCGCCCTTCCCCTCAAACTCCGCTGTCGGGCTACATGCCTTCCTGGTTCCCGCTCTGCTTTTCCCGCCGTCTCCAATCAGTTCCGATGATGATCACGTGATCACTTCCGGTCATTTCGGGCCAATTTGACAAACAGCATGTCAAAAAATAGGGTTATCTGATTGCCCCTAAAGATGTGCCCTTCCTTTGGCAGCAATGATTTGAACACCAGCTCAGTGATATGTGGCTTTCTGTTCATTAAATCCACCGTGAATCCCCTGCTGAATGGAGAAAAAGTCCTTAACAAATGGCTAAATTAGCCTTCAAAGTCCTTAAAAGGTCCACAAGTAAAAAGCAAGTGGAAGCGTGGGAACCCTGTATTAGTAATCATTTATATCTATTTTATTTAGGGGAAAAGGTCATACAGCTCTCAACGCTGTGTCATTTTTCTGGATCGCGATGATGCTCAGAAATACACTAATTTGGTACATAATATACATAATCGATGTATTTTGACTTTTGGCCTGGTAACAGCGTTTCCTATTTCACTGCTCATCGCGAGCTTTAGTGTAGTTGTGGCCCACGAGGTTAAGTTGGATGGATGGACGGATGGACAGATTGATATGTAGTCGAGGAGTTCGAGCTGTAATTGGGCAATTGATCAAAATGTAAGCGCAATTTTGATTTTGCCTTCCCCTGATCATAAAAACATTCATTTTCCGAACCACTTGATCCTCACTAGGAGCCGCGGGGGGTGCTGGAGCCTATGCCAGCTGTCTTCGGGCAGTAGGCGGGGGACACCCTGAACCGGTTGCCAGCCAATCGCAGGGCACACAGAAACGAAAAACCATTCACACCCATACTCACACCTAGAGACAATTTAGAGCAGGGGTGTCAAACTCAGGTCCTGGAGGGCCGCTGTCCTGCATGTTTTCCAAGTCTCCCTGTTGCAACACACCTGATTCAAATGATCAGATCATCAGCAAGCTCTGCAGAAGCCTGACATTGAACCTGTTCATTTGAATCAGGTGTGTTGCAACAGGGAGACTTGGAAAACATGCAGGACAGCGGCCCTCCAGGACCTGAGTTTGACACCTATGATTTAGAGTGTTCAATCAGCCTGCCATGCATGTTTTTGGAATGTGGGAGGAAATCAGAGGACCCGGAGAAAACCCACGCAAGCACGGGGAGAACATGCAAACTCCACACAGGAAGGCCGGAGCTGAAATTGAACCGGTACCTCTGCACTGTGAAGTCAACGTGCTAACCACTCGACTACCAGGCCGTCCTCATAAAAACATAATTGAAGAAAATGATTAACATTACGAGTGGTGCGACGGGTGTCTGGAACGTGAAAGAACACTGAATTCCCGGGTGGCTTCCAGCAAGCGTTTAACGTTTTGTTATTCTGCTGTCTCGCAGTCTGCATTCGAGAAAAAAAATGGTGACAAATGTGTGTCAATATCAAACCCACGCACCATGAGAATGGTTTGTGCATTCATGTTCATGTAATGAGTCGCTTTAAATTCCAAAGCAGGTGTTGTAACAAAAGCAAACTCCTGCAAAATTGTGGGTGTTACTTTTTTTTTCCTCCAAAGGATAACAGACAAGGTACTGCAGAGGGAGAATTGTGCATGTTATGACATCCACTGATGTTCTCATGAAAGGACTGTCGCCACAGGGACAAAAGCAATACGAAAGCTTTTCTCAGAACTGCTTCACCTGTCTAGGCAGTTAATGTACAATGCACGCGCACGCACGCACACTCACTTGCAGTCCAAGACAGCAATGTTCTCCAGGCACCATTCACAGATAAAAGTTTTATTTCAAAAACAATTCCATCAGGAGGAGGAATTCACATTCATTGGTATGCTAGCATTGAAGGCTTGGTAAGAATGGACTGTCTTTAGTGGATTGCCTCAGAATAGTACCTCAATTCCATCCATGTTGCTCAAAAAAAAAATCCCAAACAAAACCCCACAAAAACCCCAAATCTTTTTATTTGCTGCAAATTAATTCCTGCCTCATTTCTGAACTGTACAGTATCAAGTAGAAAAAGAATAAACAAGATAGAAAAGAGTATGTACACAAGACCCATAAAAAAAAACATACAAATAGTTGGAAAAAAACAATATTGCTTTTACGAATCATTCAAGCAGCCTTATTTCAAACAATTCCTCTGCACACAAATCAGCAATGATCCCAAAGGCTACGCACAACAAAATGATCAACCCGCCTTTTTTAAAAGTTTTTCTGGTGTTTGCAAAATAATTCCAACTTAAAATGCCTGAAAGGCTTCCACCCAAAAACGCTTCCCACAAAATCAATCGACACTCAGGTAATAAATAAAAACGGTATTAATAACATTAAAACCTGTACAGAAAAATAGTTAAAGCATGTCGGCAAAACAGTGTACTTTAGTGCACAAAATACAGAAGGAAAAGATTTTATTTGTGACTGCAGCAGGTCTTTGGATCGTTTGCTTTGAGTGAACATGTGGCCGTGAGTGCTCGAGGCCTTGTGTGTCCCAAAGTATATCAAAGCTCCATCATTTTCCTTCTTTGAAATCTTCAATCATTTTTCATCGTTCGGTCTACTTTCAACTGTGGCCCTTGTCAGCTATTTTTAAAGGTGACAGGAAAAAAGATGACAGAATAGAAAGTGAAAGCAACGTGCCCCAAACTCCTGATTTCTTTCAAACCGCCTAGTTTCATTAAAAATAAACTCAGTCAGCCATTATTAATTGGGGGGAGATTCACACATAGTTTGACCTATTTTATTTTTTTTGCATATGCGGCTACTGACATGTGGTGGGGTCGTGTTATTGATGATCATGGAAGCGTATCATGGCCACATGTTCACCGCTCTTGACAGCATTTTCTTCTGAACTCTGTCGATGCATAGTATTAACCTCTGTGGGGAAACAAGCAAAAAGAACCCCTAATGAGTCATTCTCCAATAAATTGTTTACTTTTTTTTTTTTTTTACTGTCCCTCTGGCTCTACCTTCGTGGGCTACCCTAAGCTGTTAGGACTGATGGGACTTTCTTGAGAGAAAGACTCCAGTTTGGTGTAAAAAAAACAAAACACAAAAAAACAAATGCCAATCAGCCAGGAGTTGAAGGGAGGATGGCTGGAATGCGCGGCTGAGATGCTTTTGTTGTGGCCCCAGTGGGCGACATATCCTGAGGAAGGGCACGGTGGGGAAGCCAAGCATGCAAGTCCTCACTCAATTTTGGTGCAGGTCATGGTCCCACCATCATCAAAAGGAAATCAGACATTTTGCAAAAATGGATGTACTTTCACGGTTTTCCGGGTACGAGCCCCAAAAACCTGTTCAGTAGCACCACGCTGCTCAGAGACTTGAAAACATGGCTGTAAAACACAAGGCTGCGGGGCCACATATGGGGCCGCATTTGGCCACCCCATTAGTTAGCGAACAAAATGTAGCGACTTCACTGTTTTGGTGGAATGGAACCGATCTTTACTCTATAACATCAAACCATACTAACATTCTAATATTAGTTAACCGGTTTTACAAGCATTTGTTCTCTCAAAATCTTTTTTTTTTTTGCCACAAAATTGGACGACAGTTGTACAATGACCTCGCCGCCAAAATTAATCTCTTACTTTTTGGCAAACTAGCCTGCACTATTCACTGGAAAAACTCACCTATTCTCACCCGTTTTTGTAGAGTATAAAAATATTGCTTTGGTGCCATTTTGTGGCATCTTGGCACCAAGAAACTAGGCTGAAGTGAGGCGAGGAACTTCACTTAAGTCAGGCCATCGACTTTGTCTAATAGAAAGATGGTGCTTAGTCGTCATCTTGTGGCCCCCACTGGCAATGGCAAACCTTTTTGTGTCAATTCTGCACAGCTCGTTCCTGACCCCCCGTGAAAACTGGGTCGCAGTGTGGAGTCAAAGATTTGCTTGCCACTACAGTATTTCTGATTTGAAATTTGTTGTTTGAGGGAAAAAAACAACAACTTTGCCTTTAGATGCCAGATGATAGTAGCAAAGACCCTACTGAGACTCCTCAACTAGCGTCAACATACTTCCCTGAAACCGTGATGTCGCGGACGGCGCCAAATCAATCTTGGTATTGTACTCCACAAAACTGAACAAAATCAGCGACGACGCAAAGTCGCAAATGCCAAACTACAAATATTGGGGCTGGGGGTATGCTGTACTAGTTGTCAAATGTGACAGCAGACTGAATCAAATGCACTTGTGGTTGCTCAGCGGCCCCTCTTCGAAAATCTGTCAAACCAATCAGCTCGCCTGGTGGTTGCCGCCTGAGCGGGCGTGTGCTTTGGCTGAGCGCTAACTGGGCTTGTGGTCTTGTGCTCTCTGCGGTCTCTCCAAGGCCGTGTCATAGAAACAGTCCTCATTGACGACCGAGGTCAGACTTTGGACACTAAACTCTCTCTCCAGGAGTGCATTGAGGTCCAACACGCCCGGCGGCGATGGCGAGGACGACGCATCGTTGCGGGCGTCCAATGAGCCGCTTTGCTCCTTCATGCACACTAGCGCCCCCTCGCTCCTCCGCAGACTGCTGCTTTTTTTCTTTGCCGCGCCGGGTCGGTCTCTTGCCGGCCTGGTGGGGGTCTCGGGGGGGTCGCCTTCAGGTGGGACGCGGGGCGCGGCCGCGTACGTCAGCATGGGCTCCTCTGAGATTTTTAACTGGAAGAACTGAGCGTCGAGAGTGTCCCTCTTGGCGCTCGCGGTCTCGCTGAAGCCGTCGTCGTCCTCGTCGCTGAGAATGTCGGACTCCTTGACTGAGACGGGAGCGGGTTGGGCGTCAGTTCCTGATAACGACCCGGATGGGCCTTCCTGGACAGGAAGCAGGTGCGGGGGAGCGCAGGTGCCACTACTCAGGCTGCCTTGATCCGAGTCCGTTCCCGATTTGAGATTCCTGGACTGAGCGGGGGGTTCGCCGATCGGCTGCCGACACAAGCGAGAAGCCCTGGAGGAGCCTGCGATCAAGATGGACATGTGAGTCATACATGGGCCTCTTATCTAAGCAAAACACACACAGCTCACTGCCCTGAAGTCTTTTATGACCTAAAAAGTCAAGATATGATCTGGTAAAGGTGCGTTTCACACTTCACACATTAAGCCACCTGAAGGGCTGAAAAGAGAACAAAAAGAGGAGATGCTCTTCTTCCTGCAAGTTCTTCTGTGGAATAGCTCCCAGGAAAATACAACATTCTTGTCAAACATATTGGATTGTTCATGAATACACATCACATCGCTATATACTGAACGTATCGTGTTGCACATTACGATTTGTTGTTGACACATTGGCTGCTGCTCTTATTCTGCTAACGAATGTACATGATTGTTTTCTTCACTGTTGATTCTTTGAGATTGTTCTTCTTGGATGCTGCTCCTGTGCACTTTGCTACTGTAAAACAAACATATCCCGTTGCCAGCTAATCGATGCTTTTTGTACTCTTAACTCTATTTTTAGGAAGATTCAATAGAAGAGCTGTCACGAATATGAACATTTTTTGAATGGTGCCATCTTGATGCTGGACGTATTTTTACCGCTTTGAAGAATCCAGACATTCAATCCCAGGTACGCATTTTTAACTGCCCCTCGCACATGGTAGATAAATGAGGGTCTGAAAATGGCTGCCGCTGAATTAAAAAGTTCCCAATGTAAATTAAGCATTACAACCTCTTGGTTAGTTTGTAAGGAAATGAAATAACACACCAAATGATTGATTACTAATTTATACATCGTGAGCGATTTCAACGACCAAGGAAAAACATGCTACATTTTGGGCAGATTTGGAGAAAGGTGTGCCAATTCCGGGAGGCCCGGTGGTCCAGTGGTTAGCGCGTCGACCTCACAGTGTCGAGGTACCGGGTTTGATTCCACTGTGTGTGAAGTTTGCATGTTCTCGGCATGCCTGCGTGGGTTTTCTCCGGGTCCTCCGGTTTCCTCCTACATTCCAAAAACATGCACGGCAGGCTGATTGAACACCCTAAATAGGTGTGAGTATGAGCGCGGACAGTTGTTCGTCTCTGTGTGCCCTGCGATTGGCTTGCAACCGGTTCAGGGTGTCCCCTGCCAACTGCCCGATGACGGCTGGATTAGGCTCCAGCACCCCCCGCGACCCTTGTGAGGATAAAGCGGATCAGAAAATGGATGGATAGATGGTGTGTAAAGGGTTTATTATCAGGTTTATTTTAATTGCTTTCACTTCTACCATCCAGACGCTCACATCCCCCCACCCCCCCATTTCTACTGCTATTTACAGAAAACGTATACTAAATATTCAGTTTTTTGTCTTTTTTTTAAGAATTGAGGTTGAGGGTTTGTCAAGGGGTCTATCAGGGTGCCGCATGCTGCCCACGGGCTGACAGTTGCCCATCCCTGCTCTACTTTATTCCCCTATTCATTGTTTTCTATGGGAATTTGTTTTTTCAGTGGCGCTTTGCGTCACTCACCCATCCTGGCGGCAAAGGGCGCCGCGGTGCGCATGGCTGCCACTCGTTCCTTACAGCCACGCTCCAAGCTGGCCTCGCCTCTCGTGTTCCTCCTGGCGTTCTCTCTGAGGACGGAGCGGATCACCTTGATGATGTATAGCTTGCTCTCTGGCTCACTGGGGGAAGGGGGGGGGGGGCACAGACGAGGAGGCTTGAGCACATAGCGTGATCGACACATGATTTTCAGAGTCGAAATGGAGATTAAGGGGATTGCTGCCAGAGTTCCAGTGTGTCCCCAGAGAGAAGTATAGCACCGACATTCATTCAGTCTGATCCCAATTTCTCAGTGCATTATGGGACTTTCCATCATGATGGCAAGCTTCATTCCCGCCGCCGTGCAAACTGAGAGAAATGTCACAATGTAAAGCCTTGACGAGGGAAGGAGTTGTGGGGGGGCAGTTTGGTTTGTTCCAAAACCTGTATCTTCTCTTTTATTTCTGAGTTCAACCCATTCTGTGGCCACATGTCAGATATTGATCCTCAAGTCGGACTTTCAGCACTTAAGTTGTCAAAATGTGTGAGATTTTAATTGGAGAGATTTCCAAATATGAGAACAATTTGAATCGTGTTTGTTTGGGAAAACTTGATAAGGTCTGCGTAACACTGGTCTCGGATCATTAGGTACCAGCTTCATGTCTGACCTGCTACACAGCTGAAAGACCGTCTGTGGTCGCCCTTCCACTTCAGACCTGCAGTGAATCAGCTCCCAGATGCAGCCGCTTTCTGTGCCTGGTCCTGAGAGAAAGCAAGAGTAAAAAAAAAGCGAGTTTTAATCCTTAAGTCTTAAAATGCTTTATCGTTTTAGAGGAAGCTGAATAGAAAATTCTAAAGTAGCGTGCGTGCGTGTGGCCAAGGGGAATGAGCTGAGGGGTGTGTTTTGGGAGAAAATGAGAAAGGAGAAGATTGGGTGGCCAATCCAGGCATGGCTAGTTGAACTAGATTTCTCGGTAGCGTGGTCAAGACGTTGCCGTTTTAAACCGCAAAACTTTTCAGGAGTGAAGCTACTTTATTTCACATACATACTAGGCCAGTCATCGCAACTCGGTCAGTAAACATCGACGGCTAACAAACACAGCCCTGCGGAGCAGGGCTGACACCATCAAATATTTTTAAAGTCGATTATGCCACTGATTAACCTGATAAAAATGTATTTTCTATTCAAATGTATTGCAAATACCCCCACCCCATTACTGTTTATGAACAGATGATTGTTGTTGAGGTGTGCGTGTGTGCGCACGCATGGGGAATTTGGAGAGGAAGCCAAATGAGGCCGAAAAGTCGAACTTTGAGTTGTTACTGAAAAATATGTTTTTTTTTTTCCCAAGACATGATTAAATTGGTTTGACCTTTAAAAAAAATCTTTGATGCTGCTTGGATAGTTTTGTCATTTCATCATATCTTAGCTTGCTGTCTTTCGCTGATCCGTAGTTTCACTTTAGTTAAGCATCATTTCAAATAGAATAACTTGCAGCTTAACTCGCGACATTTCCCAAGTAGCTCATCCAACACGGGTAATTCCAAAGTGTACCTTAACAGTCTTACCTGCTGTATTTCCCAGCCTGACCTGGAGTGCAGACAGAGGGATGAGCCAACGGAACTTGAATGGGTCCGGATCACCATGGGAAAGCGCTGAACGGGGGTTATTCTGATCACGCACGCGCATGCACACACAAAAAAACAAACAAAAAAAGAATGTTAACGTTATGTTTTTGATACCATTTATGCCAAGTGGAAGCACACGAGCGCAGCCTCTCACCATCTTCTTCTTCATCTTGTTGTTGTCCCTGTAGACCAATATGACTGCTTTCTTGAAGACTGGCAAGAAAAAAAAATCACACTCAGCATCTTTGCTTCTGCCGAATGCCTCATTGGGGGAAGTGGAATGAAGGGGGAGCCTCCACAGAGGCATTTTAGATGCAAACTTGAAGTCGAAAAGAGGCTGTTTCAGTATAATACTGCAATTGTCATGGTGTTTAAATGGATTAAACCCTAACAAATACATTTTTTACATTTATCTATTTATCCTCACTATATGGTTGCGGCTATGCGCTGGAGTTGTCTTTGGGCGACACGGCGGGTTACACCCTGAAGTGGTCACAAGCCAATTTCTTGGTTCATTCATAGGAAAGTTGACCATTCAGGGAACATTGCAGGTCAGGATAGCGGTCATTTTACATTTTTGTCATGTGCTCCATCATTTTCTGTTATGCCACTAAAAGGAAGAAAACACATTTTTGCCCCCCCCCCCATTCTCTGCCGTGACTGTAAGTAGTTCAAATTTGTCGTGAAAAGTAAATTTGTCTATGATAAACTTGCTACAAGTACACCTCTGCATAATGTATACTTATTAACATGAATGAGAAAAAAAAGATATCGATCAACTTATAACGACTAGCTTTTTTACAAATTTTTTTTTAAGTCTGTAACCTTGGCATTCGTAGTGTAAATGTAGCCTCAGTCACTGGTCACATCATTAGGCACACCGCTGATCTTTTGCGATCCAATGAAAAAGAGCAGTATAACCACACAAAAAAAAAAAAAAAATACCACCAACAACAACAAAACTCATTAACTCTGTGACCGTGTCCATCAAAACTCAGCATCATTATCTTCAGATAGCCGACCAACTGTGAAAATTATATGGAAATCGACAGCGGAGGAGGCACACTTACCAAACACAGTCATTTCGGGGTCTTTCCTCATGCGGCCCAATGACGGGTGTGGATTGAGCCAGACTGCAGTGGAATGCAGAAGAAACTCCCCCATAGAGATTTCGGTGACCTGTGACACGCACGAACAATGGCGTTAGATTTACAGCTGGCTCACAGACACATTTTTAGAGCTGGGCAAATAACTCAAGCATGTTTATTTTTTTTTTTTTACACAGGCATCCGAGAGACCCAATGTGTGTATACAATCATTTGAAAAATCAGTTTTCTATCATATATGCCCATTATCCTTTTGATGCGCCCTAACCCGATAACATAATAAGCTGTCCACTGTAGTCACCGCTGTCCCTGAAAGGGTTAAACAACAGACGACAAGTAGTGAGTGACTATGTTTACGCACACGTTTTCCTACATCATGGACCAATATTATTGCACATTCACTTTGAATATTTTTACTGCAAAGCCTACCAACTAAATATTCTATCAATCTGTAAATGTATTCAGTACCCAAAAGGCAAAAGAACAGAAGACAGCATAAACAGCACCAAGTGGCAAAGCAGATTTGTGATGTGTGTGTGTGTGTGTGTGTGTGTGTGTGTGTGTGTGTGTGTGTGTGTGTGTGTGTGTGTGTGTGTGTTTTTGGGAATATGCAATTTGACGTTTCATTTTTATAAAGAGGACTAATCATTCCTATTGGGCAGCTTATAAGATTGGACTTGTAAAGTATGTGCGTACCTCTCTATCGTGGCTGGCCTGCTCGGTAACAAGTTGATCAAAGACTGTGCCGTAATCCTCGTAGATTTTCTGCATCTCATTGATGTGGCTGGCCACCTTCTCCATGGCCCTGAGCGCCTCTGCACGGGCACACCAACAAAACAAAGTCTTAGCAGTGATCAACTCTTTGAAAAAACACGGGCAGCACTGCACTGAATGGCAAGCGCCAAAAGAGCATCCCGTATTTATTTATATACCGTGTGTGAATACAGCTTTAAATCCGCACACCTACCTGTGAGGTGGTAATGCTCGTCGCTGTTGGCGTCAGTAAGGGAGACCAGCTCCCTGAGCAGCAGGGGGTACTTGAGAACTCTTTGCACTGGTTTAATCAGATAAGACTCCAGGGTGGAGGAGTGCTGCTTTGTGGGGTTCCTTGCATCCAAAAATTCCTTGAAGGCCCGATCTGTCTTGGCTTCAAAACAAATAGAGACCAAATTGCTAGTAATTTGGGGTAGAATCACTCACATTAAAACAAACAAAAAAAAAAAACAAAAAATTTCTGTGTGTTATATACTCATACAAATATATGCACATATATTGGGGGCGCAACGATACACAACATTCACAGTGTGGTCCGATTCAATACTTTACGGTTCAATCCTTTTTCTATACAAGTGAGTTTTTTTTTTTTGAAATTGGATTTTTTTTTCAAAGTTATAAACTTAGCTCAGAGTGCTAAAATGCTGATTCCAAATCACTCCAAATTTTACATCCATGCCCATTTTCAGACGGCAGCAGAAGCTCACTGATGATCAGAAACAAGGTAAAAAAGTGAAAAAGATGCCCAGAGAGAAAAGCCAATCCATAGAAATCCACTTTTAGAATAATATTTTTAACATTATGTGAAGAACATCGGGGAGGGAAAGTTATTATAGTATACTGTATTATGTAATGGGAAAAATTACTACTGCACACTTATTTGTGCTATTCAATTATATTAAGCTATATTACATTATATGCTTGTATTTGTTATTTTGTAAAAACGATTTCATATAGATGATATAGGGGAGATTGCCACAATTGTACATAGTGGATTGGCTGTGTTTGCCCTCAGCCTTGATGAATCGTTACGGCCCTGGGCTGAGCCAGCGATGATGTCACCAGCAGCCTGACAGGCAGCCAAAGTTTAATTAGTGGCTCGTGAGCTGAGGTAGAAGGCAGCTGGTGATGAATCGACGCGTCATATGTACATCATGGTAATAGTGGATCCTTCAATATGCTGCTAAGTGGGGCTGCATGCGTAGCGGGTCATCCCGCTCAATTCAGAATCGTACATTTTGTAACCACGAGCTAAAAGGGGGGAACTCTCGGAGGTTAGCCGTGAGACAACGGCGTGCGCACAACAACCCAGCGTCTGCATCTGGGGTGCTGTCAAACACAAAGTAGCCTACGTAACTATCCAGCAACTATTTTTTGCTCGTTTTGACCCTGTTTGGAGCTGGTTGCTTTCCACTTAAATGTGGTTGCAGCCAGACTTCTGTGAAAAGTGGACTACACACCAAAAGCACTTTTTTCTCGTGTTTGGCAACACAACATTAGCTTCGCAATTAGCACTGACTTCTTCTGTTCTCTCTTGCTCCGCTTGCGCTTCGCCCGCCTTTTGAAGTGTAGTTTATTTGCCGCCGCGGAGGCAAGGATTCGTTTCTCAGGTGGGGAACTGCACCTCACTAGTGCAGTGCTTCACTGTATTGTTGCATCATGCAGTCAGTCAGTCTGGTGACTCTAGTGCAGAGTCATAGTGCAATAACCCAACTCCAGCGGGAGGTAGTGTAGACTTCACCTTCATTTGCCATGGCTGCTACATTTGTTTTTGATGCTAGGCAACTAATCAAGTCTCTTAATTAATCCTGCTGTAAAAAAAAAAAAAAAAAAAAAAGTTTCGCCACAGCCATCAGAATAGAGAGGGCATATAAGTGATAATAGAGGACACATATTTTCCTTGAGCAACACGCTTGCATTGTAGGGGGGCATTAATGTATTCATTACAGCACTGCCAGCTGCAGACAGGCAGCTCAGTTGACATCTCCCGGACTAATTGGCAGGCAATTAACGAGTCGACAAATAAACAAGGAAGCGAGCCTGTGGTATAATGTCAGGAGGAGGGAGGTGACGAAGACGGCAGAGATAGCCATCCATTGCTTTGGATTGGCTTGACAGACTTCCTGGGTGTCCTTGGATCAACTGGATGTGATCAGGCAGTGGCGTGAGTCACTACTCCACTTTGCACTCACGTTGTATGCAGAGTTAGCAAGTGCTGCGCTGTGCAATTATGTGCGTGTTATTCTCAGATTGGATCATTTGGACCTAACATAACATAGAGACAAGCATTTAAGGCTGTGATAACAGAAATAGGCTACACGGACCCTGTGGCTCCTGTTCTGACTAAAGGTGGTGCCATAAACCTTCCACTCATGTTTTTGCGCACCAGTGATTATTTTCACAAATACATGTCATCATTCATACATAGCCTTTGTTGAGTATTTTTTGTGTTACTTTTCTAAGAACAATGACAACGTACATCATCTCAAGTAGCTTTTCCCTTGGAAATTGTGTATGATTGACAGAAGCTGTCACCCAAGGGGGGGGGGGGAGATTTTGGGACTTTTATTGATGTCATTGCAAACCTTCGAAAATGTAAACATGATGGGATAAGTACATGCTTAAAAGCTGTGCCATAGCATCATTGCTACGTTGCTGCTCTTTTGTTCTTGATTTCGTCAATAACAGGGTCGCGCCCCCGCACCCCCAACAACAAAAAATATATATACTGTATATAGTTAGTAACTAATTAATTGGTGATTTAGGCTTGGGGAAAAAAAGGTCATCAATCCCTAACGTGGTGCACCTTTTTTATTAAACACTGACGGATGGACAGTCCAATCCTTTCACTGGCTCCCTTGTACATTTTAGAGTTGTTTTTTTTTTTAAGTTGTTTTTGAATCTTGAAATGGCCTTGTCCGACCTTTTCCTGTCTGAGCTCTTCCACCCCTGATGGACCTGCCCGGTGCGGAGCAGACACTACTGGAGGACTAAGCGGAGGCTCTGAGGGGATCAAGCCTTTTCCATTGCCGGTCTCTCTCTTTGGAATGACCTCCCGCTATACATGAGGCAAGCCCCCCTCTCTCCGCAAATCTTTAAAACTGGTCTTAAAACACATTTTCATTCCTTGGCGTTTGACAGCTTGAGACTCTGTTTTCGGGTGTTGTGGTGTTATACTCTTTTTATGTTATTCATTTATTGTTTTAACTGTCTCCTTTCTGCTATTTTTTGCTCCATGTAGAGCACTTTGTAGGCAACTGCGTTTGTTTGAAAGTGCTCTGCAACATTTATTTTAAAATGTTCACGACCCTTTCAACATTGCTTTCAGTACATTAAGTATCGCTCCCATTACCGGCACTGTATAAACAGCACGTGATTGTCCTCTCCGTAATGCTGAGCTATCAGACACTTTGTCTGGGTGTTTAATCCGATTAGATGCCCCGCGGTTCACGTTGAGAAATGTGCCATGTAATTCTGATCGTGGGGCAAAATGACCCCTCGACCTCTTCTAACCTTGGTGGCAAAGAGGCAAACGCTCTTAAGAGTTCTTTACAGCGCTGCCAAATAGCGTTGGAAAGGCCAGCGTGATCACCAGTATAAATCATTTTGAAATGTCTACTCCCTCACATTCCGAGGAAAATGCAGAGATATCATCTCTCTTACGTTGTCCGGGGCATGCTGCGTATTCTTTGGTATTTAGAAGGTTAATTTGAAGTTTATCCAAATGTTAAGCCCTCATCTGTTTGCAACAGAGTGATTATCTTTTTAGTTGTGTAACCGTGGATCATGAAATGACAGTGGTAAGCAGAGTCTCCCTTCTTGCAACCGAAAGAGGCCCCCGCCCCTCCACCTGAGACTGTGGGGTGCTGTCAGGTGTGACTGACGCAACACAGTTTGCAACGATGCCGAGATAGAAGATGGAGAACCAGGATTTTTTGGGTTGCATTTTGTGATCCAAAAAGGTCATCAAAATATTAAGGAACACCTTCTGGGCATTTCTAGAAGCTTGAAACCACAATCGCGGCATTACACCATTGATATTGCTTAAAGTGATTCTTCTCTGATGTCATTTAAGCTCTACTGATTTAAAATGCACCTGCTAAGATTGTGCTTGTGTACCTAATGTTGTAGCCAGTGTGTGTGTGTGTGTGTGTGTGTGTGTGTGTGTGTGTGTGTGTGTAGTTTTCCAATAACCAATTAGGGCTGTCAAGATTAGTAGACTAGTCACGACTATGCCGGCGGCTAATTTAATAGTTGATGTCATCATTAGTCCTCTTCTCGCTGCCGTTTTGTTTTTCTTCCTTTACTGCTGGCCGTTTGCCTGTCTGTGACGCACTTGCGGAGCTAAGCCGCGTCATCGGTGATGTATATAGAAGCGCTGTAGCTAGTGTCATGGCTCACCTGTGTTCGCAACAGAGTCCAAAAGTTAAGAGCAAATTCCATCCCCCAAAAATAGTTAATGCTATGCAAACCTGCCGTCATGGCAACACGGTGGTGAAAGGAAAGCATGTTGGGGCTGTTGACTGATTCAATTTCTGACATAGGGAAATGTCCTGTCTCAAATCGAGCCTTAGCGCGCACAAATCATGGTGTGTGTTTGATGTAACACTATAACAATGTCATGTTTGGTTAAAGTAATATATTGTAGCATCTATTATGGAGGCATAAGTCAGTGAATTTGCGCTTATTAACAACCGAAGCACAGCTAGTGAATGGCGGTAGCGACGCCGGAACACGAACAGCACACGCACTCCCTCGCTCGCCGTCTCTCTCGCTCCCACACTCGCAAACAGGAGCACTCAAAGTAAAAGAACTTGACAGGTTGGCCACAACCTCTCAACGCCAACACGTAACAATAAAACACGCATAACCCGGTTCATTATGATATACGACGTTAGAGTGCCAAAAATACACTCCCCCTGCTAATTTTAAAATGCACTAAACATTTGCAGCAGCATGTTAACGCCACAGTATCGCCTTCAATTTAATCTGGACCATCATTTATAAACTTGTCAGGAATGCTGCTGCAAGCTCCAATCTTTAAGTGGAATGAATGTACCATCATCTTCATTTTCTTGTTTTTAATTTGCACATACTTGAAAGAATTCAAGCTGGAAGCTAATGATGGATATGTAAGCTGCTTGCTGATGCCATATGCTGCGATTCCTCAACTAATCACGACTACTGTTGTTGAGAAGTCGACGAGCAAAAATCATCGTTTTATGGCAGTCCTATTATCACTATGTAGTACCTCTCTCCAGGACCTTCTGGACCTTGATGTGGTTGGCGCAGAAGCCACTGTAGAGCTTGAAGTGGTCAGCGTAGTACAGGAAGGAACCCCCGAGAGAAAACAGAAGCTTCTGTGAACGGACAAATAGACGAGGTGAGGCACAACGCATGACAAGGAAAGTGTGAACATGGAAAAGTTGTGAGCAGAATGCTCCCAACCTCCCTCTCTTGGGAGACAGACGGAGCGTTCTGTCCTCCTGTCCTCTCCCTCTCACCTCACCTCTCGAGTATAGCGGGGCTTTCAGCACCTCACAATCTGACCAGTGAACCGCCGAACGCGATCAATAGACCCCCGTGCCATGTCGTGTCAAGCCTATAAATCAGCCGGCAAACCTCGTGCCTCGCCGTCTCCATTATTTATCAACCTCAAGCACTCAGCGTTGACACCTTCCTTCTTGCGGAGGTGGCTCAATAGAAGTCCAACTGAGTGATATCTCCCTGAAATCTTTTGCCATTTCGATGATAACAAAATCTAACCTTGAACTGGGAGGGCGTCTCAAGCGTGCTGAAATCAGGGGAGGAAGCGATCCTCTCTTCAAGCGTCTGCAGGAAGACCCTCTGGAAGTCTAGCATCTCTGGCAGACTGCCGAACAGACTCTCCATCTGGGAGGAAACACGGAAAGGCGAAAAATTGGGGGTGAAGTGAAGTGTGAGACAGACGAGAGGGACACATTGAGGGAAATGCAAGGTAGGGAGGAGGCCGAGAGGGCTTGTAATTCATAACAGTAAGTCAGACAGGCACCCTGGAGTGCAGTAAAACCTCCACTCTGATGCCGCCATCACTTACAAAGGCACTTAAGGAACAAGCAATGGCTCTGCTCTAAATGTAAGACACGCACTCATACACGCATACCTACACATTTTTTTTCTCTGACCCATACATCCAGGGTCAGGTCACCTTCATTAAAAGCCATTCAGGGGATAGCGCGACCTTGTCCATTTTGTGTCTGGGCGCTTCTCTGACAGTCTCATTATGGTCTTTTAATTTGCCTAGTCCTGAGTGGCCTATCGACCGGTGTTTCTTGGAAGAAACCTTCAGGATTTTAGGTCATAACTGACACAAGCCAGGAGATATGCGTAAGTAGCAAAAATATCGATGTCATAAGAATAGTCAGCATGTGAAACACTTTGGGAAGTAACAGACACAGATAGCACAAGTGCACAAGAAATGCGTTGAATGTTCACACTCGCCAGTTAATGTTAATTTTAGATAACGTGTGAACATTTAATGGCAGTCCAGCAGCTGAAAATCCTGAACAAATGAATGGAGCAATGTTATGGAGATAGATTGATAAACTCTGTCAGCTTAGGCAAACCTTGCTCCATTTATTTTGCACCAGTCTATTGTAGAGAGAGCAGTAAAACTGTATTCTATGCTCATTGCTACCAAGTCTTGAAATCCGTTATTTCACCACACATAACAATCGGACAAATAACTCAAACGTCCACGTGATCGACAGCTGACTGTAAATCCCATTTGTCCTTAGGGGATCAATTAAAGTTTTTTTTTTCTTTTTTCTTATGCTGCAGTATAGGAGGTTAGTTGAAAAAGGTGGCCTTCGCAGGCACGTCCCTTTGTGAAGGTCATCATCGTATGGGGGAATGCTAATTTGTCAGGTAGGCATCGACAGTGGTAATGAGAAAGATATGGCCTGTCTGGATTCCTCCTCATCATCACGGGGTAATAAACACCTCGATGCATTTCACGTTGTATTTGGCCTCAACTCAAGCTTCCCAATTCAAACAGACACTTTCTGTCCACCTACCTCATCCAGCGTGAGGAAAGTTTCATTTTGTAGGGGTTTAAGGTAGATCTCAAACAAGCAAGCCAGGTCCTGCACAGAAAAGCCAAAAAGAAGGTTAGCGGAAAGAATACATTTTCTCCTGGACGTGCCTGTCATTTAAAGGCTCCTTCATCCTCACATCAATTCTCATCTTTCCATTTCATGACCTCCAAGTCTCCAGCACCCCCTCACCTCAACCCTCCGTCTAACCATCTCTTGCAACCCCACACTCCCGCATGCCCCCACGCAGCCAACCTCGCAACGGATTTAAAGTGGTAGCTTGTCTCGTTATCAGCGGAGGTATTCTCGTTATGTAAAAATTTTATGAGCGCCCTCTTCGTAAAGCGACAGTACATGAGATTGTTGCACACAGCACCGACCTGAGCTAACAGGCTTGTGCCAACGCATGTTAAAAATGCAATCGACTCAGCTACAAAATCGGGATGAAGAGGAGCGATGCACGAGGGACGGTAGTTAATGAAAAACGAGAAGATGAAGAAGGCGGGGTGGGGGAAGGAATACTGTCAGCCATGATTACCATTGTGAGACAAGAAGATCCTGAATGTGGTTGTTCAATGGGTGTCAGGGAAGAAAAGGTCACACTGACAAATAAAAAAATGATTCGGTGGGAAGAAGATGACTAAGGCTCGACATGAGGATGTGTAGGAGGTGCTCTATGGAGAGGCACGCTTGTTATGTGCAACATCTTGCGTGCACAATATATCAAATTAGAGGCCTAAAAATTCCAAAACCTAAATCAGTTTCTTAATAAAAGCCATAATGTGTTTATTTCAGCTAATTGTTTCCCTTGTGGTTGTCTTTCTCACTTAATTAGCTGTTGATGGTTAAATCAGGGGGGAAAAAAAAACTGACTCAATTTTCACCTTGACGTAGGACTTCTCTGTGTCTACCAGCTCCTGGATGACCTTGCGTAACCGCTCAGTGCCACTCATGTGCTTGGGGCAGGGCCGGAGAATGGTGCCGTCTCCCTTCGAGCCTGGACCTAAATCGCCAGCCTGCTTCACTGGCGACTCCTTGGGGTCCTCCATGGGGCCGCCAGTTGCTGAAGCGTCTCCCTCCTGGAAGGACTGGTAGAGGTTGCACACGGTGTCCACGCTCTGTAGAGGGAACCAACAGGTTGAGTTCAATTTATGGATGACAACATACCTATCAGATGGATAAAATGGGAATTATATATTTGTACGGCGGTATGTGTGCACACAAATTCACTGACAAAACAACATTAGGTAGAGCTGTACAGTCTCATGAAATTCAATACAAGTGCTGTATCAAAAATTCAGTGAATAACTCATTCCCCGCATGGTAACGCCACAGTTATGAAATAAAGATGCCTACAATGTACATGCAAAGTAAATCCCCATGGGTCTACTAGAAGCATAACGGGGAGTTGCTTTTCTTATTAGATTTGCATCAAAGACATTACAGTGCAAAATTACATGATGAAAGACATGACTGGATATCGCCGCCGTGATGCCTTTAAAACCATCATGTTTAGTTATGCGGGACTGTGCCACATCAATTGATGAGAAATGTTTTATATATATATATATATATATATATATATATATATCTATATATATATATATATATATATATAATAACGACAATACTTATCTCTAGATTACATAGTGGGAGATGCTGCTTTGCCATCCTATCATGTGCATTTCAAGTCAGTTGTGAGTATAATACTTCATCAAAATCAACCTCTTAATATGGTTGAAGAACCGCTACTTCAGCAAAACGCTCGATCGTGAGCATCAAGCTTGACTGCAGCGATGCGCACATTAATTATGGTTGGATTTCAGGCCAAATACGGTGTCCGTGCTGATCGTTTGAAAAGTAGATTACATTCCAAGCGACATTCTATTCAAACGTGTCTTGACGTTGTCATGAAAAGCTTCCAGAAGGTGTGTTGTAAAATTATTGCAGAGGTCACCTAAGTGTTCTAATCTGCAGCACGGTGACACAGTGGGCGGGAGGACCACCGTGGTCAGCACTCTGCTTTTCCTGTGTGCGCCTGTGTGGGTGGGTAGATATTTCAAAATATTGCACATGTAAGCGTTCAATGTGGAATTCACAGCTGAAGGCGGTACAGTCATGCGCGCGGATCAATGTGTCCCATACTGCAGGCGTCACTTTTGAAGGGTGCGTGTGAACGCTTGTCCCAAGTCATTCAGCACTTGAAAAGGACATAGAGCAGTGTCAGCTTTTAATGCAACACCCCCTCCCTTCCACTTCCTTGCAATGAGTCCACACACACATTGTAGCGCGGGCCTCCCCAGGGCCGAAATGTGGCTGTGACCGTTTGAGAGACACTACAAGGAAAGACAAGGAGGTGCTACGTCTGGATGTGTTCTTTTATGGCCCACTTCATTTGGGCTCATTATTATGAGTGCAGATATGTATCAGTCTTCTGATAGGAACCCCCACTCCCAAAAAAAAAACAAAAACAAGTGTTGCATATGGACATGCTCGCTCACAATTTTGACATATAACCATACCAGGGGGATCTTTAAGGACTCTCTCAGAGCGAAAGCTTCAGACCTACAAATGTTGGGATTTGCTTGGATGACACATGCTGAATCAAAATGGCAAATTTCCTTTTCACAACATTCATTTGTGTTTTGTTTTACATTTGACTGGACCATAAAGGCTATTTTATATGGCTGAGAGACTCCCTGGATTCTAAAATAAAAATAGTTATGTGCACCGGGAGGCCTGTGTGGGTGGCTCTGGGTTAGCTTTACACCCAGTATCATGGCAGAGATCTTATATGACATCCGTATCCTGCCGCACGTGTGCCCAGAGATTCGTATCCATTAGCAGAAACATTTGACTACCAAGAACACAAATAACGCACGTCATAGGCGACCGCATGGCATCTCGGCAGACGTGCTCATGTGCTCCGATACGAAAGTGGATGAGAGCGTAATTTCTCTGCCTCGTGGAGAAGTCAGCACAGTTTTATTTTCAAAGTGGATGTATAAATCATTTATACTGCATTCACACACATCTCAACTGCTGGGAAACTTAACTTTACAATCCTCCCATTGAGGATCCATAGTGCTGTTTCATGTGCTCATTCCCCCTTTTGTCATGAACGCTTCAAAAAAAATAAAAAAAAAATATTGGTGCACACAGGCGGACGCACAGCATTTCCAATACAGCGTTGCAGCCGCCGCCCACAGCGCCACACACCAACACAATATTCAATCAGGCAGGAGGACGGGGGAGATTGCCTGAAGTGAAAAACAGGAGGTTGAAGGATATCCGAGCGGGATATTCATCAAGACGCCCAGTAGCCTTAAACGAGAAGAGCGCTTGTGGAGACGGAACACAGTCACAGCGACCATTTGTTTGAACCGCTGGGGAAATGGAGGCCCGCAATCAAGAACGCGTGTATGTCCGGTGGCACGCTGTCAAAGTGTTGACTTAATTCTCACAAACAAACAAACAAACAAATTCAAGTCGCACACATGAATTTGTTTGGTTGCCATGTGAGGTTGGAAGGAATGATTAATAAGCGTGACGAGAAGGTGCCCGACTTCTTCCAGGCCTCTCCCTTGGAGCATAATGGAAAGAGAGTGAGAGAGAAGAGAGAAAAAGTGAGGACCCCTGAATAACCACAACTGAAAAAAAAAATGTGATTGCCCCACAACATTTCTACCGGCGCAGCCTGACAGCTCGCCCAAATAACCCATTAAGTGCAGCGGACAGGAGCGGGAGAAAAGCCTGGCGGCACAGCAGTGAATTCCTTTCCAGGTTTTTCTCGCCGACAGCTGACCGCGCCGTCATGTTTCTGCCTCTTTTTGCTCCTAATTTCTAAAGTTCATTCCGAAAGCACAACATCAACCCAGTCGCGAGTCACAAATAGGAAGGGCGACTAACTAATCCTGGTTCGCATGTTTCCTTTTCAACTGGCACATACACTCACCAGCTGAAACAACACATGTTTATAAAGAACATAAACAATGAAATAAAATTGTTAATGTGAAAAAATGTCTCTTTTAAAAGCAGAAAGAAATTGAAGCTTGATTTTGTGTAGTTCCCCTTGGCTGCAAACGACAACCACAAGTATAAATGTAGTACTGACTTAATATTTAACAATCCTGACAGTTATTGTCATTGTAAGGTCACATTTGTCTCTCTTGATTTTGCAAATGTGCCGAATGTAGCGGCCTCGGAGTGCAACGCATCATGACGACTTAAGACGAGTCAAATGGTTAACAATGTGGTGGTGGCGGTTACTGCTCTGCACAAATTTGCCTTCCTCTTTGCTCACCATGAAAAGCAACCTGTAGAGGAGCCTCCATGCCGCTGTGGCCTGCCGCTGCGTTCTTCTGGCCAGGGAACATCCTTTCCGACGCAGCCTGCCTCCCCTGGATGTCGGCATGGTGCCTCCACATAAAGCGTGTGTGGCCCAAAAGTCACCCGCGCCAAACGGTGAAATATCAATTTCTTTTCCCTTTCCACTTTTCAGGTTGATTTTGCTCCCCCACTCACGGTTAGGCCAGGTCAAACAGAAATCTCCGCTTGAGTCCTTTGGGGCGAAAACTTGCAAGTTATCCGACACGTTCCTGTGCCGGTAACAGTCAGTGATGCACTGGCTGTGAGACTGTCATGCATATCAATGCTTGGGTTGCGTGGCGTCTTCCAGCAACTCACGCATCCATCCCTCTGCCTCTCCGCTTCTCAGGTGTACCGAATACTCACTCCTCTTCCTCTCAGATTCTTCCTCTCATTTCGATGTGACCTTTCTGTATCATTTCCAGAGAGGTGAAAAACTAAGCGGTGTGTGGCATCAGTACTCCGCTTCAAAAGCAGCAGTACAATGTAGACTGTTCTGGCTTGTGCCGCCAAACACAGAGGAATGGCTGACTCAAAAATGGGAGGCTGCAAGCGCGCCGAGGAAACAGGGCGGGAATGCAAACAATCGCCATTGCACCAAAAAAGTCCTTTTATCCGTTTAAAAATAATGGAATGCTGTTGATCTTTGGAAAACAGTCCTTAATACAGTGAAGTGCCTATTCTACATGATCAACAAGTTATTTGAAGTATTGTGCAAAGCTGAGGAGTTTCTTCCTCTGTCCCTGACTCTGAAGTCAATTAGGGTTGCATATCTATTCAATAAGAACAACAACAACGGTCTCGGAATCGCTCCTTTCGTTCATCCAAAGTTGTTTTGGCTCTGTACGGAAAAGTCCAGTTATTTTTTTTTTACATCAAAATCATTGACTCCATCAACCCCAGACATAAGTAGGATGTTAATAAATTCCGTATGGTAATTCTGTTTTGTCGCAAAGCTGTGAGTTAAAAAAAAAAAAAAACATGGTTTGTGTTTGCCGTGTGCTTGAGTCAAATGGGCTGTGACAAAGTTGTCTAACAAAGCAAGAAAAGACTGAAATAATAGCAAGACCAAGGAAAGTATGCCACATGCAAATACACAAGATTTGCCCTCTTCATCAAACACGATACAAAAACGCTGCAGTCTTATCGGTTTGAAGTCACTTCGATGTCCTGAGGGTTTGTGTTCAACAAAACCGAACAAAACTAACTCAAAGCTGTCAAAGCCGTCTCGAGTGCCACGGACACTTCAATGAAGGCGTGATATACACAGCACCATTTGTTTTGCAGATGAAACACTTCCATCATCTAATGAGCAGTTGAGTTGGCCACATCTTAGCCCAAGTAAACAAGCAAACATTGGGGGGGAGATTAAAATGGAGGCCAAACAACAGACGGTTGAGCTTCGTGATTGCTTTACTAGTCAAATGAGCAAGAGAAGTGCGGCCTCGTGGCCAGCTGTTGGGCCGTGATTCATCTGTCAAATAGTGGACAACGGTGGTGCAATAGTGGTGAATTTTCATAGCAGACCTGCGCTCATAAATCAAATAAGAGATGAGCGAGAAGAGATGAGAACGAGGACTGGTGCCGTTCCGCGACAACCTCCGCCCATTTACCCTTCTATTATTCAGTCTATACAAATATTATTCCACAAAGTCTCAAGGGGCCTTTGGGAGAAAGAGCGTGTTTTCATAATGATGCCAGCTTCAGATTAAAGCACCCATTCCCCTGAGTCCCCAAGGCACTTCACATCCACTGCAACACACAAAAGATGCTACATCGGTAAAATCGTGCTGGTCCCATACTGGAGCACTATTCTTTCATTGCTGAATAAATGCTTATGGGCAGATGCTTGTGGACAACAATGACCAAAGCATGAAGAATAACGACAAGCAGGAAGTTGAGGTACAGTGGAAGGTGTGTCTAATGGGTACTAAGAATGCAAAAAAAAAAAAAAAAATCATTTGTGCAGAATGTCACAGACTGCTCAAAAGACAATCCCACCAAGTCCGACAGCCCATAGTTACCAGTCGCTGGTTCCTTTTTACGTCACTCTGGCAGGACAAGCAGTTTTCCACATTAAGTGCCAAGCAATCCAGTTTGACTTTCAGGAAGCGTCCAAGGCTGAGCAGCACAGAAGCCAGGAAGAGATCCTTCTCCTCAGCTTCACAGCTGGGAGGCCAGAACCAGCACATGGCCAGCAGGGAGCACAGGGCCTCAGCCGGAGACTGGTCCTGCATGAAGAGCTCAACCAAAGTGGTGAGGTACAGACTCGGGCCGGGATCCTCAGTGTTCGCCGCTGGAGTCAAAACGGCTACACGGACAGCCATGGTGGCGTTGGACACCTCTGGTGTGGTCATTCCAAACAGGTCTACGTCATGGTTCTTGTTTCCTGTGGCTCGCTCCGTTTCTTGTGTTTTTGTTTTCAGTCTTCAATGCAGCGTGGACGGACGGGAGCAGACAGGCATTAACTGCACCGCCAACAGTAAACCCAGATTATTAGCCCGCTCACAGCCAGATGGCTGGCGGCTGATGGGGCTTAGTCATAATACACACCTCCCCGAGTTGCAGCTCCACCAAAAACAGACCCACATAAAGCATTTCAAGCAGATTCTCCAAAGTTAAGAGAGGGGGCGACTGTAGCTGCGAGCAAGAGGAGATCATGTTTTTTTTTGGGGGGGGAGAATTAGACTGCCTCATATCTGAAGGCCCTCGACTAAGATACTTTTTTAAAACTTAAAAGACTGACGAGGAAAACTGAAACAGAATATTTCCACTTTTTCTTTGCCACATATTCAAGAGTTTAGAAGCACGTCTTCGAGAGCAATTCCTCAAAAAGACAAGACTAAGACAAAATTACGGAAAGGCTATCCAACCTGACCAAGAGGCAAAGCCCGGCAACATCATTACCTCCACTGAACAGCTATAATGACAAAGAGCCCAGTCGTACGCTTCCTCATCAGTCCATTTTAAATGCTCTTACAGAAACGCCTGTCTGGACAAAGAGGCTTAATACGTCTGACTGCTGTTTCATCTTTTGTTTAATACAAGACATGACAGGCGACTATGTTCGGTGTCAAACAACAGAATTCAATGGAGCCCCTTACAATTTAATAGCCCCTAACATCGAGGACGCACAGTGACAGTCCACCAGAAGACCATGACCTCCTCGCATCCAATACGCAACAGGATTGTTATGTTTTATTGGATTGTGCAATCCATCCGTTATCTATAATGCTTATGTGTGAGGTCATGGCGATCTGGAGCCTTTTGCAGATGATTTTAGGTGAGTGGGGTGGGGAGAGATATGCACATGCACACAGCAGTCAATTGCTCGGCAATGGATTTTACGACTCTTGGGGAAAATATGAATACTTTCATGATTGATGTATTGTTCCTTCATGAAACAACACACAGTATAAAACGCTTAGCAATTTGTATTGTTTCAGAATTTTCTATCAGTGTATCCACTTCCAGACACTAGGTGGCGTGTGGCAATGCACCATCCTTTCCCTCTGTCTGTTAGAATCTTGAGTATGCCTGTGTTCAGTCATGTGATGTGCGCTGTCGACTTGTCAGCTAACAAACTAGCGAGCGGCAGCCTCTTTTCACTTCCTTAACCAGTGAAGTCCAAGTGGCGACGCGATTCTGAATTTGCCGAGCCACGTTCAGGTGGCTGCATTATCACTTTTTAAAACAACATACAGTGCATGTCCGTTACAAGTTGCGATGCCTTATGGCAGTTGTTCAATTGAGTCCTCCAATTAACTGGTCATATCGGTACCATAAGAACATTTGCAATAAAATGATTAAAGGGGTCTTCTAGTGCTGAAGATTTCACTGCATTAACTCACAGGCACAGGAATTACAATCAGTCCCAATAGTGAACAACACTTTTAACTCTGCCTAGTAAGCACTTCACCTCAAACGTACACAGAGATTTCTGTTGTGTAATTAGAGTAAATTGAAATGCAGTCGACCAATTAATCAAAAGGCAGCCAGACTAGCAAGGCGGCCGATTACAAGTTGTGGCGAGAGGCTTGAAATTGGTCCTTCCCTTTCCATCCATCTTTATTGACATTCACAATGACATGCAGACGCATCTCTTAGCTCACACGTGGTAGATTTCTAAAACATTTTCCTTCTGCCTGGGAAAATAGATTTCTCACTTTGCAGCACTTAATTCCCATTTGCAATGTCACCGTGTTTTTTGGGGTGGGATGGGGGTAAAATCTTCATAGCAACATCGTGTGTGATAGAGGCAACCATCTTTTTACTGCGCATTGAGTGACAAAAGAATTCACATTCGGAGACCAGGCACGCACGCACACTTCCTTCACTCATTCCTCCAAGACAAATGCTGAGCCTGAGCAGCAGTGGTGCAGTGCAGAGGGACTGACTCATGTCGCCACTCGGAAGAAATCAAATGATAACAGGAGAGCAAAGTGAAGCAGATGAGGCTGTCCTCTACCTTTGCTATATGACCGCAGGTCAGCTTTTGTCACGTCGTGGCAGCCCCTACAATTACAAGTGGCTTCCAGCCATTGGGCCGGAATGTACAGAACAATCTGGGGAAATGAGCAAAAACCCCACAGACCATTCTCTTGATGCCGACAACTGGTCAGTAGTGTCATTCCCAGCGTGGCGGGACAGAACGTGAAATGGCATCGCATGAATTCAACGCGCACTGATGCAAAGACAATGAGTGAATATGCATGAATCAACACATACGTTGGCTTGGATGCTTCCAGTCATGTCTACATCACTAACAGATGGCTTTTCATGACGAGCATACACACTCATTACCACTCCCAATAAACATCAGCATACTCATTCCTCCCGATTACATGGCAGCATTGAGGCATAGCTCCCACAAGGCCCGGCCTCACACGCATTTTAATGACTTCATTAAAGTTAGTTTAGATATAGAAAAAAAAAAAACCCGAACCAGATATTTAAGAACCACCAAGACTGAAATAGAAGCGCAATCTGCCGTAATAATTCACCTGGGACATCCATTTGGCATGTTTATAGAGGAAGTATTTTAAACGAGCTTGAGAAGAGATGCAATCGGGATTGTCTTGCGTTCCAAAGAGGCGGCGAACACTAACGCTGTAAAGATGATGCCTGCCACTGCAGCTGATAAGATGATGTTTGAGTGAATGTCAGGGTAACGGGGTGGGTAGCTAACAACTGTTTATTTGGCCCTAAGCGGCACTTCTCACTGTGTGCACACGCGGCAAGTAGCTGAGTGTGTGCGCCGTTAGCTGCGGGGTTACGTTGGTTAAGGGGCTACTAAATGCATGGCAGGGATCCTCCCGGCGAGAGAAAGACAGACAGGCGTATGGGTGTTATTTCTTCCCTCGCTGATCATCCCGCATGACAGTAATAAGCTGTGTTTATAGCAGTGGCTACGATGGCGCGTTCTAATTATGGTAATCTGAGGGAATCGGTGCCAGTCTGGTTTCAGACGACCACACAGTCACCATTGTGACAGCGCACGTGCATGTGCACGCACACACCGCCGCATAGGTTCTGGAATAATAGGGAAACATAATGTACGGGACATGGTTGTCTGCATGACAATGGAAACCTTCTCTTTAGCTCCACCCACCTTGTTGAGCTGAACAGGCCGGTGTGCGCAGTGGGAGTGACTCTCCGGCGCGGCACACATGGACTCGCTCGCCTCGGCTGCAGTGCACAAGTCTGAAGGGAGACAGAGAGAGGCGGGTTAAGTTGTAGCTATTGTGTGTTCCTCACGAGTGACCACTAAACACAAACAATACCGTCTGAAAGCCGTCAGAGGCGTCTACCGGGTCTATAAACAACAAAGGCTTTCCGTCCCTCCCAAAAATAAGACAAAACAATCGGAAAGCCGCAATTGTGAGCTCTGCAGTTTATCTTGTGGCTGGAAAAAAACAAGTGACACATTGGCTGTGTTTTCTTGAATGCCTTTGTCATGTAAAATTGAACGAACAGTCACCAGATATTTTTAGATGATTTCTGATATGGCCTCCAGCTCATTAAATTCAAGGTTCTCGCTCCAAACTGTGTAGCAGTTGGCACAAGAACAGATTTTTAGCCTTGACTGTAGACTGGGAGGTAAGCCAATCTGACAGCAGGAAACAAAAGAAAACTTCTGGACTACCTACGCAGCTAAATGTGTCCTTTCCACAACGGCAATCGTTGTCAACTAAATTGCAGAGTGGTACGGAAGACATTCACTCTGAATTTGATGAGTCTGTCTTAAACATGAGTGAAGACAGAAGACAGACAGCTTTCTCAAAGCAATTTGTGTTTGACAACTACTAATTCCTCTCCATCAGCGCTAATTTCCCCGCCTCCTGATCAGACAGCCAGGGATCATCTGCCCTCTAGAGACCGAGAAGAAAACTGCACACATTTTTGATCTCATCGTTTACTGTAATGAGGCTTTCAAGTCATTAATCCCTCTCTCTCTCTGAGTTTAATTAAAGATACGCCAAGGAAAGGCTATGCTAATGAATTACTACCATCAAGATAACATAAAATGTTCAGACTGTTTTGGGAAATAAAAGCAATAAAGAAGCATGACAATGTGTGTGCGTGCTGAGGGAAACTGTGCTCTACACTGTGTGGATCATTTCATTTTTAATCACCTCTTATTAACGTGTCATTGTGCTTATTTTTGAAAGTGCATTTCTCTTACAAACAAAAATCACAGGTTCTGCTCTGCTTTTGTGAACATTCTGCATAACAACACCTTCTAATTTCAGAGATAAATTCGTCACAGGGAGTAATGGTGAATCAAATACATATTAGTAGCAGCCGCTCATAGAAAACGGCCACATTTGTCACCAAGACGAGGCGAGAAAATTGGGGGTAGAAGCATTTTGTGTGTGTGTGTGTGTGTGTGTGTGTGTGTGTGTGTGTGCGCGCGCACGTCTGTTCAGTGACAAAATATCCTCTCTTATTTACCAATACTTCTGATGAGAAGTGCAACCCTGAGTACCATTTACAACTATAAAACACACAGCCAATAGAAAAGAAGGCTTCACACGGCACACCTTTACAAGCGCAATGCGATTCAACCCAACAGCGATATAAAGTGTAGTGGAGATGACATTTATTATTTATTTAAGGCACCTGAGGAGGACTTGGCTTTGAGCTTGAATGCCGGAGGAGGGACTGGGTGGTCAAAGGCACCGTTTTGAGGCGGTGGTCCATCCCGCCTCAGGCACAGGTTTAGGGTTTGCTCAGCAAACAACGTCTGGATCAGCGTCAGGTCCAGACCTGATACATAGCGGCCATTCAGCATCAGAACCTCGTCGCCTGGACGTAAACCTGGAATACAAACACAAAACTCGTTGGGAGAGAAAGACCAGAGGCATGGAACACGGATGATGTTCTTCATGAAGTTTTGGGGCTTATCTGTCATTGCTGTTGGTACCTTCGGTGAATCCTTGTCCATCAGGGAGCACTTCACTGACAAAGATCCGACTGTTCTTCTGACTATCTATCTGCCCCGTTACGGCAAATCCTGGATGGAGGAAGAGGAAAACCAATGACGGGATGAAGATAAAAGGTCACGTGCAAAGGGTTTCCAACAGCGACTTACCAAAATCTCCATTGCCGCTTATCCTGCTCATTTGCAGTGTAAACATACTAACTGGGACCACCTCCAATTGGCCGTTAACCTGCAAGGTCACAGAGCAGACAAATCAAATCGGCTATGCAAACAAGTGCATAATGAAGAGCGCGCTGCGTCTTGCTTGCTCTGCTCACCAATTCGCAGACGAGCTCGCCAGGCGCCACGGATCGAAGCTCAGTGTCCTGTCCCGCCTGCCTGTGCAGACGCAGTCGGTGCAGCTCTGGGTCCAGCTGTTTCGCCTGTTTACACAAGAGAGTCTAATGCTCAGCAGCTTGTGTGCGCCGACTTATCGGACATGTTTCATGCACCGACGCTTGGTTCGACAGCTGCGGTATGGTAGAGGCGTGAATTATTCACAGAATTTACACTTGGGCGATGAAAGCTTTGCGGCAAACGACATAGCGTCGCTCAAGTGACTACAGCCTATCTGTCAGTCTTATGGGACGGTGTGAAATTAACACCGGATGAATAGGTGTGTTGCTTTAAGGCCCCGAGGGAGTGTCAACCAACAGCATATGTTGTTTCAACGTTCACAATGACCATTGCGGCATTAACACACAAGCGCATGAAGACATTTTGGGGGGAATTGGGTTTTCTCTGATTTCAAAACGATATGTAAGCCATTTAAAAAAAAAAAAAAAAAAAAAAAAAGATCATGAGCAGAGACAATTTTATGGGCATCGGGCGCATTGTTCTTTTGTTGCGCTTATAAATCACTAACCTTGCAGGCTTCGAGGAGGAGGTCAGCGGCTCTCTGCTCACTTCTAATGGGAATTTGGGCTGTCAGGCCACCTGGCATGTAGACACAGGTCAGCACGCCTGTGGTGCAACTGATGCTATCCCAGACACCAACCTCAGGGGGCGACATAGAGTGGATACTGGGAAGCCCATCTATCCTCTGCAGAACGACAGCGAGGTGATCAAGAAGCAAAGGGAAAGGGCGGAGTCAGATTTCAAGAGTGTCATACAGAAAAGGAAACCAAGGTGAGAGGAAGCAATAGGCTTTGATTAACCGCACATACATCTAGTTTTAATTTGTATATTATAAAATGTAGCTCTGTGACTCAAAATGGTTTGCTATGGTGCAAGTATACTGTATGATTCCCATTGCATTTTGGTCTGACACTGTGAAAATTAGTCATTTAGTGTAAGTCATTGTAATGATCACATGCAGAAAGGGTCAAGCGGAAAGTTTGGGAGTCACTTTGACAGGCAATTATTTAATTCCTAAAAATAAAATACAACACCACAAGAAAATTATTGGAAATAATATGGATGAATGAATGTGTGTTAAAAAAAAACAGTCAATTACAACTTGAAAGGTTTTTTTTTTTTGTTTGTTTTTTTTCTGGCAACATTAGGAGTGACGTTTGAGATGCATATTAAGGGAGGAGGTTTGTGCCAACATCTTTGGGCAGCTGGGGGTTATGCAGCAGACTTTATGTCTCTGGAGGGAAACGCACCCCTGTGGTATTGTGGGCCTGCGGGAGACACCGAATTATAGCTTAGGACCACAATTGTTAAGGTGCTGGACCTTGAGGAAACCGTCACATTTAATGAACCAAACCTCAGTGAATGAAGTACTTTAGTGATTCAGCACTTCTGCAGAGGATGACATGACTGTGGTTTAAACTAGAGAGGAATAAATGCCTTCAGCGAATCGAATGATCTGGGCACATTCCACCGTTTGAAACACACCAATAAATACCCTAAATGTAGAGTGATGTGAGATCGAGGGTGATAGGGGCTTTTGAATCTGATGTTTCTGGTGCTTCTTTTTTTTTTTTTTTTTGCGTTTCAGAAGCAACTTGCTCATCACCCTGAAAGACCTACGCCCCACAAATGTCTACCTCAGATAAACGCAGGCACAAAACATTACTTTATTTTCCATGCCTGCTCTGGATTAGCCCTCAAAAATAAAAAGCCAACGGCCTTCTTCCCAAAATGTTTCCCTACCATGAAGAGATGGATGAACACAAAGGTGCTGCTTTAACACCCAACGTTACCTATCCATTTAGGGATGTGAGGTCAATGCCTACTCACTGAGGATGAAGTAACAAGCAACATGGCAACCGGTTACATAACCAGCCCATTTGTGTCCCGGCATAATGGCGTGACTGGAAAATTGGATTTTGTTGCCTCCGCTGACCTTAGCAGCAGCTGATTTAACACTGCACACCCATTCATGGTCACAGAGGGTTAGAACAAGCAGGCGGTTGCCCGGTCAACCTTCCACCACCAAGTGCCAACAAGGGCTGTGGAGACGGCACGTGCCTTGCCATCGGTGTGGTCGGTCTCTGTGGGCACTATTTATGTTTGCATTCGCTCAGAAATACACTCAAACCGATAGTTCAGTCTTTCCTCTCTAAAGCGGAAACTACTCCCAAACCAGCCGCCAAACGCCTCTAGAGTTTCTAAAAAAAAAAAAAAAAAAAAAAAGGATGTGAGGACATTTGGTGACAGCTGCATAAATACTACACCCATTCTGCAGAATGCACCCTTTCCCCTTTCTGCTCCACTTAGCAACCGAGAAACACAAATACATCAGTTTGGACTAAAATAGAGAGAATAGCCTTCAAGAAGACATTGAAGACAATTTCAGCCAATTAATTCTATTAAAGTAGCATTACTGCGAGTTTCCTTTAAGCTCCACCCAAGGCGTTTGACACTCTGGGACAAGGATGACAGCCGCTGAGAGCTGGCCCCAGTGCTTCTGTTAGGCAGACATGTGGAGAACTAATCATCAAAGGCAACTGAATAGAGATTTCAACCTTCAGAATAAACAGATGTTTTCGTTTAATTCAACTACTTAGTACTACTATATATTGTAAAAAAGATGGACATTAGATACACACGTCATTGTCAGTCAGATGCCGGCTGCAAGACTCTAACGGGGTCCTTCTGCGCGCCTTCCCAAGACATCTCGCTATCAAAGCAGGAATGATTTGTGGCTTTGGGAATCGGATTATGTTTAATGGTTAATCGGAGGGAAAACATGGACACATTTTCATTAAAAAATTATTTCATATAAAATACAGACAGTCTCGCAGCCCGATCACATCTGGCACCAACAACGGACAGGAAATGTTGGGCATTATCAGAAGTGACATGGGGGGGCTGCCGGGCCAATGTGGCAGTGATGTGTCATCGACATCAACAAGCATCTGGAGGCCACCGACGGACCCCGATACAATCTGGTACAGACACCGGACACCGCAAAACGGAGGCTGTAAAGCAAGGAAGCAGTTGGGCCCAGTGCCCCGGGCAGACGTGAAGAACTGATGATCAAACGCAACTAAATGGAGCATTTAACATTCAGGCTTAACTTTTGTTTTTTTACACTACAACTACCTGAGACTAGATGCATGTACAAAGATAGAAAAACACGAATTATCAGTCAGATTACTTTCATTCAGGGAGTACGAATCAACTGGACAGGAGGACACGTGCAAAAAAAAAAAAAAAAAAAAAAAACGACAACAAAAACAGACCTGTTGCCCTCCTACTATCCTGCCACCATGAAATCTTACTCCCTACATCAAAATAACCTGACTAAAGGAAAGAGTGAAACACTCAACCCCAGGGAAACACCCACGTTTGAATCAACATTGACGCATTTGTCCAATGAAAGACTGCATTGTTTCCGGATACCCCTTCCGCTCTAATTCTAAACGTTTGATGGGAGGCAGCGTTTGATACTCGCCACACTCACCACAGACTATGAATCACTGCATCCTGTGGAACTTACTAACACTCATTCAGTCTAAAAGTGTTCGTTGTACTCATTTGTCAACACCAAATTATTACTTACAAATCTTTTGGGGCCGACTTTTTTGAGAGGAAAATCCAAACATTTTGGCATATTAATTAAACTATAACTGGCTCATTGATTGACAACAGTGGAAAATGTAACAAAAATTAATGATTTGTGGAATCCTTCCTATTAAAAAAAAAAAAAAAAAAACTGTCAACCCAAGTGGGAGAATCCTGCAGTCCACCAGTGACGCACATTAAAGCAAAACCCTGATTATGTTCCTCATGACTTCAGGACTTATGGCTTGTGTGTTATATGTTATACTGCGTCCGTTTCATCCGGACTGGAGGTGAGCAGTAAAACTTTGGGACAAATCTTGTTCCCGAACCAAAACGTTTGGATCCGAACCTCCCTCAGACTCCTGAATCACACGTCCTTGATGTAGGCATGTTCGAATTTAATTTTCCCGTGTGCTGAAGCCTCAACATCTGGCTGCCCAGATGGCCAAAATTCACGCTCCTCTATTGGTTGATAATTTTACCACACATGCATAAACCTTCTTTCAGCCACTGCTTCTGGTCGACACAAACTGAAAGCTGAGAACGGGGCTTCATAAGAATCCACTAAATATGGTGTCTTTATTATTAGGAGAGACACTTTAACACATCTAACCCGCAAACATCTTCCAAACAACCGCAATCAAAGGTCGTGTTCTGAACACGACTCCTTCGCACTCGTCAGTGAGCATGCGGAATGATGCATGGCACGGAAGACTGAGCGACAAGAGGTTTGAAATCACAAATCAAAGATCCACAAACCATGCTGGATAAAGCGAGGGAAGGCAATGACTCACCTCCGTGTTCTTGGGAGGTGGCACGAGCGCTTGACCTCCAGCGTCGCTCTCAAAGACCTGAGATCAAGAGACAGGCATTTAAGAACTGGAGACCGTGGGGAACCACTGACTCACGAGCGGTTATGTGCCCGGCCACTTGAGTGTCACAGCATTAGACCCAAACGGCGCTATTCTGTCATTAATTAAGAACTCCACGTGGCGGGCGCAGAGCTTTGATCGTGCTAAAACGTGCGTGATCAAGAGACCTTGTGAATGGACACTGGTGGCACAAAGAGATCAAACAGACGAGACGACGTTCTCCGTATTAAATGTCGAAAATAGCGTCGCTTCTTGATGCTTCATGCTTTCTCGAGCTGACTCGTTTGATGATTTGTTGTGTGAGCCTGCGGCTGCAGGTGACAAATAGCACACACGCAGGAGCCACCGCTCGTGGTGATAACTGCTCACTCAGCAGCCTGCAGAGATGGCTTGGCTTATTTGATTTGTGGAAAAGATGACACATTGTCATATGATGTGTCAACCTTAAACATACTCCCAATAGTCTCTTGTACTGACTCATAGCATCATACGAGGGTCATTCAATAAATGAAGGTACATTTTCCGATACAAGGACTTCAAATACAAATAGAAGCTACTGTGAACTGCTGAGGCAGGTCAAGAAAAACATCAAGAATGAACACAGGGGTCCATCAGTCAGAAAGAGTCATCTTGCATCATGACAACGCAAGGTCTCACACAGGAGCCCAAACGGGGCAGACCATCAGCGAGCTGGGCTGGGAACTGCTCCCGCACCCCGCTTCCAGCCCAGACCTTGCCCCTTTAGACTTTCACCTGTTTGGTCCCTGAAAAGCATGACGATGAAGTAGAAAAAAAAAAATGTGAGCGATTATTGGCTGAGACATCAGTCCAAAGATTTTTACGCTGAGGGAATATGGAAGCTTGTGCACAGATGGAAAAATTGTGTGACAGTTCTGAGAGACTATGTTGAAATACAAAAAGAAAAAAAGTAAGCTTCTATCTGTATTAGAAGTCCTTATACCAAAAAATTCACCTCATTTATTTGAATGACCCTTGTCTGTTTTAAATAAGAAAACTATATATGTAGCAGATGCTTTTGGGCAACTGAACACTCCCCTCTCAGGTACCATTGACGCTTTACTTTCTATAGCTTGATTGTACCTTTTCAGCTCTGGAAAATATAGTCCCCGTGAGGTCCAATTCTGAGTTCCACCGGAATATACCTTAGCGTAGAATGTGCATCGTGTGTCAGAAATTGACTCCGACTGTGCCTGCTGTTTCTGATATTGTAGCTGCCTGCCCGGGTTGCAGATAGCATTAAGCGCCCCCACCCCTGATCGTGCGTTCGTAACTTTACCACCCCTTACAGGAGTACGAAGTGGCTGTAAACAGCGTCCCTCTCCTGTAAACTGACTAATTTTAGAATGCATTACCAACTCTCTCACAAATCGTCAGACCGCTTTGGCCTACTTCCCACAGCCCAGTGCAGGCCAGCTTCTTACGGTATACATATAGCTCCGCTAAAGGGGATGATAGGACTCAAACAAGTGGGAGGAGAAGACGGGGCGAGCATGACTCTGGGACAAGATTGTCGAGAGCGAGGTGAAATGAGCTTAAGTCAACACGGATGAGTCGGTGTGGAAACTGTGGCAGAAGAGCTGCCAGCATACCATTCTGATATTTCTGCTCCAAGGAGAAAGAGGGTTTGAGGAAGAAGTCGCCGAAGTAAGACAAATCATGAGTGAAATTGGGAAAGCGAGTGATAAGCAAAAGCAGGAAAATGGATTTGACCGAAATTTGAAAGCCGAAATAAGGTAGCTAAAGTGGGTATGGCAATGGCTAGTTTGGCTCTTTGATAGCCCGACTGACCAAATCCTTCAAGAAATGCTTACCGTCGCTCGCATGCGGAGAGCAGTCATGGGAAATGAAGATGTCATTGAAGGTAAATAAGGAGTTGGATTCTCCACAGTCAGGGCAGATAGAGAACTGCTACATTACTCTTTCATAAAGCAGCAGATGTCCAGGAACCCCCTGCCCCCTTACAACTCCTGGCATTTACTCTGCCTAATTAGCTTTCATGCTAACAGAGAATAGCACTAAATGTAAAATGAAAACATTAGGGGGGGAGAACAAAACTTAAGGAAGGACATCTAATATTTAGCATTTTTACAGCGCCCATCTGCTTGTGTCTGTGGGGCTGAGGGAAGAATGGGGAATGCCATCGACCACATATGGCTATTCATAATTGATGTTTGTGCTGCAGCGCCACCTCCGCCTCCTGCACCGCGTAATCCTAATTGTGTCTCATTAGAGTGGCCGGCTTGAGATTTTCTCGAGGAAAAAAAAATAAATCATAGTGTGCGCGCGCACGCACGCGCGCGCGCCTCATTACTGACAGACTGTCGTTACTGGTCAAACACTGATATTACAGAGGAGGCAGTGGGATAGCAGCAAAATGAAATGGGACCCGAGAACATTTTGTAACAATGAGGAGCAATGGTGCACCTCGTGAAGATTTGGAGTGACCCGTAACTCAAGAAAGTGGGATGACCTCCCAACTTAATGATGGTAAATTCACTTGGCTAATGAGCAAAGTTCCAGAAAAGCTCATCTAAAAGTAACCAATTGTTTCCTGGAGTGTTTCCCAAAATGGGCACACACACAGACACACACATGCAGGGCATTCTTATATCAATAAGTAAAAGTAACAGCAAACCTGGAAGGACTTAAACCTGCCCCTGGGACATGGATTAAGATTGCTCCCTTGTGTTTTTGTTCATAGAAAGCTGGCATGTGAACATAAAAAGAAAGGAAATGGGGGACTGAGGCCATGAAAAAAAGTATTTGCCCTCTTCTTAAATTGTGTTTTCGTTGGGAGGGGGGGCAGCATAGTTTCCCCACTTTGACGTTTAAGACCATCAAAGGTGTAAATATCAGACAAAGATAACACAACAGGAAAAATATATAGATATTCAAGGCTACCTGGTAGAGTTTTATCAAGTAATGTTGCCCCTGTAATGGACAACTTTGTGTGTGTGTGTGTGTGTGTGTGTGTGTGTGTGTGTGTGCGTGCGTGCGTGCGTGCGTGCGTGCGTGCGTGCGTGCGTGCGTGCGTGAGTGTATGTACATGAATGAATTCTACACTGTTGCATTATATGAATATCTGGTTGGTTCTTCATATGAGTAAACTGCATTATTATCCTGCATGATGTATACCAGACTTTCATTAGTCTGTGTTTTAAGGGAGATTTTTTCGGGAGAAATTTCAAGATACGATTAATGCTGTTGGACCCTCAGCACACAGCATGAAAATAAATGCCATCGGCGAATTGTACACGAAACAAACTTTGCATGAGAATAAAAAAAGCTGTGATTGGAGACTGCAGACCCGCTAACAACTTTCGGTGATGCAGATCATGCACCGCATTAGTTTCAAGGTGACCTGCTTTTTAATGTTATTTTTCAAATCCTTTTTTGGTGAAAAATTGAAACTGATAGGATGCTTAGGGTGCCGTGTGCAGTAGCACAAAATATTAACAACACACACAGACAGACACACATTTTTTCCCCCTCATTTTGCCCTACCCCCCGTTATCAACTTGGGACCAGTCCGGAGGCTACCAGTCGATTGCGATCGACTTATTGGGCACTCGTGGTTTATATGTTTGATCATATGCACATCATGTCTCTACGGTCCAACAGCGGGCAATAGGTGTCTTACAATAATGTCCAAGAATGGATTAACACGAGATCTTAGCAAGCAGTGTCAACACTTTGTGTGGCCGTACCTGTGACGCAGAGACCCTTTTGCCCTTCTTTGTCAAGGTGTCAAGGCCTTTGAGGGAAGAAAAAAGGCCTCGCTTGTGCTTTCGGAAAGTCCGTGACAATGAGCGCCTGCGCAGCGTAGCCTCATCTCTGGAACAAATCTGAACAAAACACCAATATGAGGACTGTAATCATCTGGCTCAACTGAAAGTCCCTCTAATCACATCATCTTAATTAGATTTAAGCTTCCGTAACATCAGCAGATTTGCAAGAGTTTTTCCAATGATAAAATGATGCTCAAGGTTGCTGCTGGACATGAGGTCAATTTAAAATCAAAGGAATGTTCAAAGAATCTAAACATTAGTCGTTCACTACACCCCGCCTTGGCCCCGCCCTTTGCTTTCCTCACCAGTGCATGAAAGGATGAAACCGAGAAGATCCCGAGACGGCCCAGGGTGGTTTTGGTTGGGCGACTAGCGATTGCTAGCAGGCTCTTTGGGTTGGGTAGCTCACCGCCCTGAAGACTGGCCAGGTAACAGCGCATCCGAAAAAGATCTAGGTTGAACCTCTCCAGATTTTGCTCCCACTGCTGGATCTAAAGGGCGAGAGTGGGGAACACTTTTAGTTTTCAGGGTTCCGTGGCTAGGAATGGTGATTATGTAGAAGTGAGGACAGAAGGTAAAAGAGGGAGGAGGAAAAGGGATAGTCAGACAGGGAGTAAGGGTCAGAAAAGTGCTCCCACATCAAGCTGCAATTGCTTCCAGATGTTGACGGCGGCAAAGCGCATACGTTGGAGGCTCGATATCAAGCATAGAACTGGGCATTTATAGCGCACATCCACATTTTAATGCTAAATCTGGAGGTGAACGGTGATGCTGCACAGACCAGCCTTTAACCCCCATTATTTACAGTTGCCCTCCCCCATTCTGCTTTGCCCCATATAAGAGCGGCTAAGTGCTCGTTTTGTGGGCTTGAGACTCATTTTAACGAGAACACTTGGGCAAAACAACCCTCGACAGCAACTGACTTTTAATAGGTCTCGCCTGCACTGTGAGTTCATTTACAATAATGGACCCCTTGGCATTGTCCCAATGGGGCGCGTTCGCTCTCAGGGCCTTCTGCAGGATTAGGGCAAGTAGTGAAGTGGGACGCACGTGTGGTGCTTTATGAACCTCAGACTTTTCAACTTGAACCTCTGGAAAAAATCATCACAATCAAATTTGATGAAGAAAAAGACGACGTACGATACTAAATCTCTACGCAGATGGCCACATATGAAGCCTCAGATTTTGTGATATTGTTTCCATGATTCCCATGAGACTTGTTCGTTGCAGAAGTTATAAAAAAGACCATGCGTTCAAGCACAGTATTTACACGCATAAGTTTACTGACATTTACTGACACCAGACTGATACAGAAAAACGAATGAAAGACGAAATAATTGGATGCTGGCAACTACGGCGTCACAAAAGAGTCTTTGTCCTTTTCTTAAATGCTTACTTTTCGTGGTTTCCCCATTTTTATGTTTCAAAGCATCAAACAAAATAAACATCCAAGACAACCCTCATCAACGTGAAATACAGTGTTTGAATGGTTACTTTATTTATTAAGGAAAAAAGAAGTATTTAAAGCTACCGAGCACTTATTTGGAAAGCTGTGGTCATTTTCCCTGACCACACTTCAGCCTAATTACCCCCAGACCTGTTCAATCAAGAAATGACTTCAATAGAAACTGACAAAATGATCTAAAAAAACGAATGCAAGCAAGAAAAAAAAAAACGGCCTTCTTTTAAGAGACTCGAGTCTTGCCTATTGACATTTCACACTAATCCAAGAAAATTGTTCAATGCACTGCGATCAGAAAGTCCAAAGGCAAACTTCAAAAGCAATCTATTGGCAGTGGTTCCTGTAGACGTGGATGGAGGTGGACGGGTACATCAAAGATGTGCCCCGTTAGTTCTGGATGACCCCAACAGAATGTTAAATCCATCATCAGCCTCTGGGCACCGACATCAAATGACATACACCTCTGACCCTATCATTGACTCAAAACCACATCTGTCTCTGAATTTACTCTTGAGGTGGCACCGGGGCTAATTGGAAACATATGAGCACACCAACACTATGGCATCTTCTGCACTTAGGACTCCGGTGACCTGCATGGATACAAAATACACACAAAAGAAAAAAAAAAAAAGATATTTCTATATATACAATGCATTACTTTCTTTGTTTTGAGGGCATTAATGTGTATCTTCTTTGAAGGGACACAAGAGTAGTTGGCACAAATGGAAAAAAATGTGACTCCAAGGGTAGACATACAAGATGATGCTTCTGTCTTTCATCGTCCACATGGGGAATGATGAATAAAAGTGCCATCTGGCACCAATATCCAAACAACAAATTGTCTTCCTAGGAACGTTTTTTTTTTTAACGTTCATGTAATTTTTAGGTTAATGTCAAAAACACGTCAATTTTTGTCATTAAAAAATAATATTGGTGTGTGTGTGTGTGTATTATATATATATATTCTGTGTTCCAGCCCCTTTAGAACTAACATCAAGATGTGCTAAAGTCATTCTAACCTTTTCTGTCCAACAGTTGTTTGGTTTGGCATTTATTATTATTTATTGTATACGCCGCAGCACAGTCCTGGGTCGGCTTGGGCTTTTCCCATTAACTATACATAGTAGTAGTAGTATAAGGAAGAATGTGAAGAACCCATTACCAGGAAACATCTGGAATTCTAATCAGATGCCACGGGAGAGATGTTCCCCTGGGCCTCCAAGTGAATCATTTGGGGATTGGTGCATTTAGGCCATTTAGTCCACAAAAATAAAAGCACAAGTCTGTAGTCACAGTCATAAAAATCAGTATAATAAAACACAGCAGAGAATGTGGTTGTCTCAACCCCCCAAAAAAAGGCCACATACATACTTTCACATAGGGTCTAAAATGATTGCATGTTCGCTTACAGGAAAGGGGACACGTAAAATTCCCTTGAGGCCTTCCAGTTTGGTTCTTTGACAATTATTTTTTTCCCTCAATCTACTAATACCACAACATCATTAATAACACCACCGGCTCACCTGGTTTTCAATGGCCTTGCGGTTTTTGGGGTCACTGACAACAGTCAGCTGAAGCTCAGCCATCTTCTTCATTTTCCCATCCATGTCAATCTTCTGCAAGAGGCCGCGGACCTGGCTCCGCAGCAGACGCACTGTATCCTCCTTTCCCTGGCGCTTGGCCAGCAGCGAGGCGCTGGCTGAGTGGATAGCTGTCACCCAGTTCTCGAGGTCGGTCTGGTTGCTGGCCTGCAAGGGGAGGGAGGTCAGAATAAGATCAAGTTGATGAACTGACGAGGCAAACGTTGCTGTTGAATACAGCATTCATCCTGATAAGCCTTCAAGAGAATTGCTCTTCTATTAGTCTGTCATCGGTCGCAACAAGAACAGCCGATGACAAGCCATGCTTTGCTGGATCGATACATGCAGACTTGCATGCGAGCTCCTCACTCCATTAGATGCACCGGAAGTCTGAGAACCATAATGCAGTCTGGCAAGCTTTTTATGTTAAGTGGTGAGGCTGGTAAGACCGATATGTAGGTCAGTAAGCACAACTGGGAAGTGTGCTCTGGGAACTCTTCCCTGCCATGTTTGGACACATTGTGTGCATTCACGTGAACATCTAATTGGCCATATTCATGCCATACAAAACAATAGCCACATCCGTCATAGCCCTCACCTGAAAGAGATAGATATCGCCGTATGAATTGCTGAGGCAGAAGACGTTCTCCTTTTTGGGGTGCTCCGGAACAGCCTGGACAATGCTGTCCTCGGCCAGGAGAGAGTAGCGAGGTGAGAGCTCTTGCTCTAGTGACCCTTTACTGTACGTCTCATAGAATAGCAAAGTACATCCTAAGAGAGGAGATGAAAGACAGACATTGTAAAAAGGTGAGAGTGATGACGACGCATCTATGCTTCTGGTTGTTTGGCCTTATTTTTTTTCTCACTCATCAAATAAAGTCAACGAAATAAAAGGAGGGAAAGAAAAATGGTGAATGCCGATGGGGTAACTCGAATAAATGAACCAAAGTATTCGGACAGCTGGCCATTACACGAGAACTTAAAATGACCCAAAACAGGATTTTGTAGGGTGTCTAGGAATCTGTGATTTGTAAGGTTTGAGGTCACTAGTGTTGGACGAGAGAGCGTGTTCATTTTGCAGGTGTATGATTGGATTTGAGGTGAAGTTTTCCCAAGGACGACTCACACAACCATTCATCTGCATCACAATGGAACAGAAAGGGCCTTGAGATAAATCGACAACATGTAAAAAGCACACCTTTCAAGGTGACCCAGTACTGTTTCCACTTGCGACGTGTCACCAGCTCCAGCTTCCTGTCCTTCTGCAGCGTCACTAAAGGTTTGAAAGAAAGCCACCCCGCCCGTCGGACCACCCCTTGCTCCTTTTCAAAGAGCAGGTCCAGCTGCTCCAGAGAGCCTTCAGCTGACTCACTGCTGCTCTCCCCGTCATCCTCACCCGTGGAAGGGTCTCTTCTCTCGCTTACTCCTTGTCCACTACCAGTTTCCAGCTCCCTCATGAAATTCTCATAAATGTTCTGGCGGAGGGCATCACTGGTTGATTGGTGAATCGCCCCTGATGATTGGGTCCTTGGGGCTCCTGGGAACCACAATAGGCTTGACGCCTGAGACGGTGAGCTGGTGTCTGCAGTCATGCCATCAACACCGCTGTCAAAGACATCACTCATGTCCTTGGGCCGGGTCTCCTGAGTGGAAAAATAACAGAAAGGTGAGAGGTGTGAACTACACAATAAAGGGGTGTACGAGACAGTGACCCCTGACACGAGCAATGGTTTCTGTTAATACGATGCCACTCGAGAAACAAGTTCACAAGTTCATTTTTCCTTCAGAATAATTTCACTAAAACGGCACCGTGTTAGCCCCGAGCATTACAAACCTCTGCATATGTATGTCAAGCTTTGTGAGTCTAAATTGGAACACAACTCAAACGGTGCACTTTTCATTAGCCAGGAGGCACTGCAAAGTTGAAGAGGCGCTTTTAAAAACATCGAGTCAAATCACTCCAACCTACTTCAAAGTCTACATTACAGTGACTTGATCTTTCGGTAGGCAGAGAAAGTGGGGCAAATTTCCTGTGACGGCACCTGGGGAGGTTTGAACCCTCTGGGGGCAGACAATTTTTCATCATTTATGGCCTGGAGTGGCTTCCCAATTCCACAAATGAACACTTGATGGAATTGCACATCCTCCATTTCTAATGAAGCCTCCCTGTACTTGAATAGATTGCTGTATCGATTGTGGCACAGGCAACCGTTTGGAGTGAGCCGTGCACCTTTCAATGTGCAGACACACACTATATGTTCCTCCGTGCTAATCCTCTGCCTTTATTGGTTCTCGTGTATCGCCCAGTTTTAATGGGGGGGAAAATGGCAATGAGATAGTGTGTTGATTCCAACAGATTTCGCGTTTTACTCTTCCCTGATCTGGGATCACAAAGGTCAGAGAGGAGATTTAGTGGCATATTTGGACACTACATTGGTAATATAAGAGTCAGTACCACATCTGTTTCTCATTTGAAGCAGGTTCTTTGGTGACAATGTGACCTTTAAACTCTCAACACAACACTGGTTGCCGATAAGCTGGAAATGAATTTCTCCAATGTAACACAGCTGTTTTTTTTTTTGAGTACCTGAACACAGAACTAATTTAAAAGCAAATAGAACGCAAGCTATAAACTTGACAGGAACGTGAGGCTGAAGTAAATTCACTGAGTGATAGCCAACTCCTATGAAGAGTTGAGTACAACCACATGGCAACAGAAATAGAGGGGGACATCATTAATATAGAGTGAAAGCTGCTTATTAGTCAGTCGAGAGTCCAGCAAAAAAGCCATGACAAAATATCCATTGAATG